TGGGGAGGTAAAGAGAGAGAGAGAGAATTGCTTTTATCTGATGGTTCACTCCTGCAGCGGTCAGGGCTGGGCAGACCTAAACCAGGGATCTGAATTCCGCCCGGGTCTTGCACACGGGTAGCAGCAGCCCAGGCACTTGGCTCATCTGCTGCTGTTCTTCCAGGCTGACAGCATCTATTGATCTGCAAGTAGACATTTTGTTTGTTTCTGTATTGTTGCGACTATTGCTGCTATGAATGTGGGTGTATAAATATTTCTTTGAGACCCTGAATTTAATTCTTCTGAATCTATACTCAAAAACAAAATGGCTGAATCACATGGTTAATTCATTTTTTTCACTTCTTGAGGAACAATCGTGTGTTTTTAAAAGATTTATGTTATTTATTTATTTTATTGGAAAAGCAGATATACAATGAAAAGGAGCTACAGAAAGAGCTTCCATCTGCTGGTTCACTCCGTCCCCCAAGGGGCCACAATGTTCAGAGCTGAGCCGATCTGAAGCCAGGAGCTTCTTCTGGGTTTCCCAAGTGGGTGCAGGGTCCCAAGGTTTTGGGCCGTCCTCTACTGCTTTCCTAGGCCACAGGCAGGGAACTGGATGGGAAGTGGGGCAGGCGGATGCATACTGATGCCCAGGAGCCAGCACATGCAAGGCGAGGATTTTAGCCACTAGACTACCATGCTGTGCCCTGTCTTATACCATGTTACAATCCCACCAATGGTATATGAGCATTCTAGTTTCTCCACATTTTCACCAATATTTGTTATTTTTTCTGTTTTGCTTTTGTATTTGTTTTTAATAGTAGCCATCCTGACAGGTGGGGCAGAATTTCTACTTGTGGTAGGTTTAGTGGTGGCAAGCATTTCAAGTGTAACTTCCTGTCCATCCATCCATCCATCCATCCATCCATCCATCCATCCTTCCATTCATCCATCCATCCATCCATCCATCCATCCTTCCCTCCTTCCTTCCTTCCATCCATCCATCCATCCATCCATCCATCCATCTTCCATCCATCCATCCATCTTCCATCCTTCCAAATTTCCATCTCCTGCTTCATCCTTTTGCATCATTAACCTGTGCACCCAGCAACTTATTCACACATGCAACTAGTTACCACTAATTCACCTTTCCAATTGTCATTCCTTCTACCTACCAAACCCTCCACCCATCTCATAGTGACCCCTCCCATTAGTACATACATAGAACATATATATTTAAAGATTTATTTTTATTTGAAAAGCAGAGTTACTGAGAGAGAGGGACCTGAGAAGGTGTTCCATTCGCTACTTCACTCCTGCAATGACCTCAATGGCTAGGGCTAAGCCAGGCTGAAGCTGAGAGCCAGGAGCTTCTTCCATTGAGCCATCCTCTGCTGCCTTCCTAGGCACATGAACAGGAATCTGGATCAGAAGTAGAGCAGCCTGGACACAAACTGGAGCCCATATGGGATGCTGGTGCTGCAGGCAGTATGTTTATTTGCTAAGCCACAGCGCCAGCCCCTACACCACTTATCTTTTATATGCCAGACACATTGTTAGGTGCTGGAGAGTGAATAAGATACAGATCCAGTCAGCTGCAGCTTAGTTACAAGGGAAATAATGAGGACGCATGCTAAACACCACAAGCGCTTCGCTAAGCAGCTCTCTGTGAGCTCCACGAGTCCTGTGCAGAACTCTGCACTTCACTGCAAGGACTTTCTCTGCTCCATTCTGAATTCCTCACCTTTCTTTTCTGTTTTGATGGGGCTTTTGATCTCCCTAGGGAGATCAGCTGGGGTTTCTGTTCTGAGGAGATAAGGTTAAGTGAATGACACGGCTTAACATTTTTTTGAGGGGGTTATTTTGAATATCATTTTATTTTTGTCTGAATGACATAAATGAAATGAGTAAGAATAGAGATGTGGAGGCAGGACTTTGGCTCTCGACTGAGAGTTGGTTTAGAGGCAGGAAATGAAAGATCAAGAGCATGGATCACTTATGACCGGCTGGATGACAGTTCCGTGGGTGTTGGTTCAGTGATGGGTGGACAGACAAATGATGAATGACAAGATGGTTCATGACACATGGTAGGCTGGGGAGATGGACGTTGGCTGCCTGAGTGATTGCTTAACAGTTTAATGATGTATAGGTGGGTGGCTAGATTATTGATGGATGAGGTGGATGGATGATGGATGGATAAATACATGATGGGTGGATGGATGATGGATGGGCAGATGGATGGATTAGTGAATGGATGGATAACGGATGGATGAGTGGGTGGATGAGCGATGGAGGATAGACGGATGGGTAGACGGATGGATGATGAATGGCTAAACGTAATCAGTAAGGTGGGTATTGTGGTGTGGCGGTGAAGGCACTGTTTGGGACAGCAGCATTCCATGTTGGATTGCCAACATTTGAGCCTCAGCTCCACTTCCATTCCAACTTCCTTGTAATACACACCCTGGAAAGATGGCTCAAAAACTAGGATCCTGCCACTCCTGTGGAAGACGCAGTGAAGTTCTAACCTCTTGGCCTCAGCCCCATCCATCCCTAGCAGTCCGGGGGAGGGAGGGAATTTGGAGAGTGAACCAGCGGACTCAAGATCTGTCTTTTGTTCTCTGGATCACTTTGCCTTTCAATCAACGAAAAATAAATAGAATTTTATAAACGCCGCAGCCGGTCTTTCAATGTCACCATGGCTTTTCTCAAGCGTTTAGCCACACGCTGGTGGAAGTCTGCTCTGTGCTGGGCGCCAACCAGCTGCAGAAATGAGGATCCGCAGTTATCTGCAGAACTGTAAATGCCTCTGTTCTTCTGGGGAGCTGGAGTGAGGCTAAGATAGGCAGACAAAGGGTCAAGAGCGGCATAGATGAGGAGTCAGTGCCCAGGCATGCTGGCTTCGGTCAGGAGGGAAACTCACTTGCCATCCTTCAGAATGTCCCAGAATGCAGCATCTCTGCTACCAGAAAACGTTCATGACACCACTGCCCAGGGTCAAGGGTAAAAGTGAAAGGTCAAGGGTATAAAGGCAAGGTCTCCATTGGGCCTCCTAAAGTCTTTGTTGAAGCCCAAGAAGGTGCCATGGCAGTCCTCAGGGATCCCTGTTTCAATGAGCAAAGTAGCTGCCTGGAGCCCCGGTGAGTGCAGGCTCCCAGGTCCCTGCTCAGCCTGTCACTGTGGGTCTCTGCTGGGGCCCAACCCGCCCAGTTTCTGTGGCCCTGGGGCAATGGACAAAGGCCAAATGAGAGCACCCTTGGGAAACTAAGACCAGGGGTCCTTTGTGGAGCTTCCAGAGGTGGAGGAGGAGGGGGAAGGAAAGCAAGCAGTCGGGTCCCCCTCATCTCAGCCCTCAGAGTGTGTCCAGGGTTTCCCAGACCTGCAGCGGGGGCAGGTTTGGGGACCGGGAACTGGCAGGCAGGGCCTGAGGAGCTGGGCCCTTCCATGTAGGCAGAGGACGAGTAGGCTGGAGGGAGAGCTCCCGCTGCCAGCTACCTGCGTCAGCTCCCTGAATTCCCCCATGGCAAGTGGAGCCTCTGGGGCTTGGCAAGTCACTGCAGGAGGTTCTGGTTCACTTGCAGCTTTATGATGGAGTAGGGAGAATCAGAAAGCATTCCCACAAGGCAAGGGTCACTCATTCGTGTGTTCATTTATTGCTTTGGGGGATGTCTGCTGAGTCCAGGCACGGAGGACACAGAGGTGCCCAGGGCCATCAGGGTATGATGCTAGGGTGCCACCTATAGCTGCTGGGACAAAGTACCAGCCAGGTGCCCTAAAACTACTTTCCTGGGCCACTGGCTGACGTGCAGGGAGCAGAATAGGGAAAAAAAAAAAAAAAAAAAGGATATGAGAAGTGTCTACTCAAATCACCTGCCCCTCCGGGCTCTGAGAATAAAGTACTAATCGCGTAGGTGTTGGTGGCGGTAGTCACGGCTAACATGTTGGATCTTATCTGGAGCCAGGTACTTTTCTGCGGGCATAAGATGGGTATACATGCAGCCTTGGTGAGCAGATGGGAGAAACAGGCTGAGAGAAGTGGGACAGCCAGCCTAGGGCCACACAGCACTGAATGCTGGGAATTCAACCGAGCTCTGCTTGATTTTCAAATCCTGTGCTTTTTGTCCTCTATGCCACATGGCCTGCTAGAGGTGGATGCTCGTTGGACAGGCAAACAGGACCATCCTGTTAGAAGGGGAGGAGAGGGAAAAACCAAACAAATTCTGTCTAAGCTACACAACAAAGCAACCATGGATACCAGGACCAGAGCTGAAATACACGGGCCATTCCTTAGAGCTAAATGAACAAGTGTGTGTGTGTGAGAGAGAGAGACAGGGGAAGGGGGATGCAAGCAGGTATGTGTGTGCACACGTGTCCCCAGACAGTGCTTTGACCTGGCACTAGGGAAGAACTCCCCCAGGTCCAGTTAGGGCTCCTGGGGTCTGGGGCTGTCTGCCAACCCTTGCCAACCTCTCCCCCAGCTCATATCCGCCCATCACAGGCCCAGGCCACCCACAGCGGGGCAGGGGTGGAGGTTCTGGGAAAGTTTCCCATCCAGTAACCTCACTGGGATACAGGTGTATTTGCCCAAAGTCACGGCTTGGAAGGGGCCCAATCATGTCCCTGGAGAAGCTCTGGTGTCTGAGGAATGATGGCCCTGTGCTTCAGCTGTCAGGCCGTGGCTGTGTAACAAGGCTGTTGTGTGTGAAAGCAGGGGCAGCCAGGTTGGGGGCTTCTAGAGGAGAGTGCTGGGGGTTTCGGCAAGAGTGGATGCAGGGGGCATCCTCCCAAGCACTCAGATCCACATTTGACAGGTGTATGTGCTAAGGTAAGAGAGATAGTACCAGGATGCGGGTGTGCTGTGTCCTGGGATGCAAAAACAGGCGGTACCCGGCTGTGACTCGGCCTCGGTGTCCTCATCCACGGAATGGAGCCACAGAGTCCAGAGGTGGGATAAGAGCCTGGGCGTGGCCAAAACCCCAGGCAGCCTGGCCTGACCCACTTCTGATCCTCACCCCCCACAGATCATTACTGGGACTTCCACCCCCACCACGTGCACAGCGAGTTCGAGAGCTTTCCCGAGAACCACTTCACGGAGCTGCAGAGTGTGCAGGCCCCGCAGCTGCAGCAGCTCTACCGCCACATGGAGCTGGAGCAGATGCACAACGTCCTCGACACCCCCATGGCGCCGCCCCACGCCACTGGCCTCGGCCACCAGGTGCGTGGGGCTGTCCTGCTTGCGCACGCACTCCTGTGTGCATCCGCACGCCGCCGCCACCGGTGCCCCCCCCCCCCCAAGGGTTCGCAGGAAGCTGACACAGCTCTTACTCAACTTGGCTTCCTGCTCCCGTGGCGCCAACGGCGGCCTGAGCCCCAACCGCTGCTGTCTGATCTCCCTTAGACTGACCATGTGGCCCCCAAAGTCCCTGCCCGCACCTCTCACCCAGTAGGACCAGATCCCAGATAAACTCCACGCCAACTCTTCACCACGCACATTTACGGGGTTCCAAGCCTCCTTGCCCCCTTGCCTAGTGCAGCCCAGCTTATTGGCTCTGATTGAGCCTGCTCCTGGGGCACTGCACACTTCCCGCTCCTGGGTGTCCCCACCGCCACCCTGACCTGAACCCTTCAGCCCCAGCTTGGGATCCTTGCTGGAGTCTGCTAACCCTCGGTGACTCCACTCACTCCTGACCCTGCCCCCAGAGATGCTACAAGCCCCTTCGCCTTGGTGTCACTGCCTTGGGAACCTGCATCCAGCGACTTCCACCCCTACACTGTGCCCCCCACCATCGCTTCCCATTTTCCTATCCTTCTGTAACTCCAAAGACCCACATACACCCCCTCCCAGTGCCTGCGCTGCGCCTCACTGACCTCAGCCCCTCTCCTCTCCCGCCCAGGTCCCCTATCTGTCCCGGACATGCCTCGTGTATCCATCCCTGTCCCCACCCCAGCCCAGCTCCGATGAGGAGGAGGGGGAGCGGCAGAGCCCCCCGCTAGAGGTGTCTGACGGGGAGGCCGACGGCTTGGAACCCGGCCCAGGGATCCTGCATGGAGAAACAGGTAAGGGCTCCCCACCCTGGATCCAGCTCCCATCCCCACTGGCCTTGACCCCGCCTGGATCTGTGCTTCCTAGGCTCCCAGGCAAGGCCATAGCCCTGGCAGTCACCTTGCAAGGTTCTGTGTGTGTGCGTGCGTGCGTGTGTGTGTGTGTGTGTGTGTGTGTGAGAGAGAGAGAGAGAGAGAGAGAAAGCACGCGCCGGTTAAGGGCAGGTGAGTGTGCCTGTGGGAGTGTGTGAACACATAGAAGTGTGCGTGGTGCGTGAGTGCAGCTGAATATGCACGTGGGAGCACACGTGTGCACGTGAGGGGTACAGGCCCATGAGAAAGTGGGGCTGTGTTGGATGGGGATGCCCCTGGGGTCCCCTAGCCGCCCCCAGCGCACCTGGCGCCTCCCCCTACCCTCGCCCGCAGGCAGCAAGAAGAAGATCCGCCTGTACCAGTTCCTGCTGGATCTGCTGCGCAGCGGCGACATGAAGGATAGCATCTGGTGGGTGGACAAGGAGAAAGGCACCTTCCAGTTCTCGTCCAAGCACAAGGAAGCGCTGGCGCACCGCTGGGGCGTGCAGAAGGGTAACCGCAAGAAGATGACCTACCAGAAGATGGCGCGCGCGCTGCGCAACTACGGCAAGACGGGCGAGGTGCGCAAGGTCAAGAAGAAGCTGACCTACCAGTTCAGCGGCGAGGTGCTGGGCCGCGGGGCCCCGGCCGAGCGGCGCCACCCGCCCCATTGAGCCCCGGCCCCCACCGGGCCGCCCCGCTGCCCATAGCATTAAGCCCTCGCCTCGCCGTCCCGGACACAGGGAGCGCGCTCCCAGGGGCCAGAGGCTGGACTGTGGCGGCCAAGGTTCGCCGCCCCCGTCTTCCCCCTGAGTACACCCTGCTTTCCCCTAGTCCCACTCCAACACCCGGACTCCATTCCCCACCCTCCCCTTAGGGTGGGCTGTCGAGTAATTGGGGGGGCGTCCTGGGAGCCAGTTCTTCCCATTTGGAGGACTCCCCATCTGGATCCTTCTTTATAAGCACCTATCCTACCCCTCCTACACTGATCATTAATTCAGTAAAGTTGTCTCCAGTGAAACCTCTTGATGCTTTTAAAACTGTTCCATCACCTCTGGGCCAAGATTAGTATGGGGGAGGGAAAGGAATCAGTAGTGGAAGATTCACTTTGCATGTTATTAATCCAACTGCAAATTGGTGCTGAATTATAACAACGGTAGCCGCAACAGGGACATTTTTCTGGTCATTGGCATGTCAGCTTTGAGAGGTGGAGCGTGACATCAACTCATTTTATGGAATGGAGAAACTGAAGTTCATCAAGGTCAAATGCTTTTGCTGAGGCCACACCGTGGCAGGGAGTGTTGGCCATGAGCCTTAGGCAGCTTCACATGTCAACCTGCCTTGGGAGCAGACATTGAGCTCTGAAGTCCCAGGTGGCTACAAAGCGCTCTCATGAGGTGCATGTCCAGCGGGGCCTTAGACCCAACAAGTGAGACCCTGGGATGTAGCGGATGTAGCTGTGTGTCCAGGCTCCCAGCCCCCAGCAGGGGAGACCCAGTCGAAAATAGACCGGAAGCACTAAGGGAGGTGGGGTGCACACCCCTGAGGCAATTCCTTGGGGGCCTCCCTGGGGCCATCAGTACCACCCTGTGCCCCTCTCCAGCCCCAAGGGCCTGTCTGCGACTCACCCTGCTGCCCTTGGGGCCCGACACCAGCCTCATAGTGATCAGCATCTTAGGAAGGTGCAGAGGCAAGGTGACACGGCTTGAACATGAAACATGGAGGAAACAGTGAATTTGGGGGCTGAAAGAGATGGTACATTTGGACCAACTGTGAAATACTGCTGTGCAGACTTCCTGTGCCATGGGGGTAAATGCTTTCATTTTATTCTTTTTAAGATTATTTACTTGAAAGGCAGAGTTAGAGAGAGAGAAGGAGGGAGAGAGAAAAAGAGAGATCTTCCATCTGCTGGTTCACTCTCCCAGATGGCCCCAACAGCGAGAATCGGGCTGATTCCAAACCAGGACCCTGGAATTCTGGCTCTTCCCTGGGGACGCAGGGGCCTTGCGCCACCCCCTGCTGTTTCCCAGCACAACAGCAAGGAGCTGGATGAGAAGGGGAGCAGCAGTGCCTGTATGGGATGCTGGTGCCACAGGTGGCGACTGTATTTGCTATGACACAGCACCAAGCCCTAAATGACCTTTCTTAATGTTGGGTCTGGCTTGGAGGGTGTCATCTGTAATTTGCTTGTTTCTTACAGCAGCTGATGGCCCTGAAACAATAAAAGATGGGAATCCAGTAGGGATGGGGCGGGGGGAGGGGTGGTGTGGACCAGGCTGTTGAGGGGTGGTGTGGACCAGGCTGTTCTGATATCACGCTCTGTGCTGACCTATGTGATCGACTGGCAACAGCAGGCTCTGCTCTGCTGCTCTGCTGTCCTCCACTTTGGGGTGTATTTACAGTCACCCCACACCCTCACAGGCAGACTCCTCCAGCCCCATTCCCAGTTCCTGATTTGCCAAGTAACAACAAACACTGATTCAGTATTTTCTACATGCCATGCACTGCCTTAAAATATTTCATTTTAATTAATAACAGAGTGACAAGATAATAGATAGATGGGTAAATAGATGATAGATAGATGATACTTCATTTTTTATTGTAAAGGCAGATTCAGAGAGAGAGAAGTAGAGACAGAAATATCTTCCACTCACTGGTTCACTTTCCAAATGGCCACAATGGCCAGAACCGAACCCATCTCAAGCCAGGAGCCGGGAGCCTTTTCCAGGTCTCCATGGGTGCAGGATCCCAGGACATTGGGCCATCCTCCATTGTTTTTCCAGGCCACAGGCAAGGAACTGGATGGGAAGTGGAGCAGCCGGGACATGAACCATGGGATGCTGGCTCCTGCAGGTGGAGCTATCATACAGTCCCCTAGATAGGTAATCTTTCATCTACCGGGTCACTCCCCTATGCCTGTGTCAGCTGAAGATACAGGGATCGAAGCCAGAAACTCCATCCGGGTCTCTCATGTGGGTGGCAAAGGGCCCAACCAAGCTCCTGAGCCATCCCCTGCTGCCTCCCGGAGTGCGCCATGAGCAGGAAGCTGGAATGGAAAATAGAATCAGGACTGAAGCCTCACACTCCAACATGGGGCTGGGCGCCCCGAGCAGGAGTCCCTGCTGAGCCAGTCGCCCGACTAGCACTGTAATGCATAAACCCTCCTCACACGTGTGACAGCCCCACTTTTCTGATGAGAAATCCAGCAGATGGCAGTGCTGGGGGTCTTGCGGGGGTGGAGGGTGGTCTGTGGCCCAACCTCCCCCTCCCCCCACCTGCCAAGGGCATGCCTGATTGGTGAGCCTCAGACTACGGGCCAGGCATGCTTGGCTTCTAGGAGTTACAGTCAGGGGCTGGCATTGTGACATAGTGGATTAAGCTGCCAGCATTCCACTTCTGGTCCAGCTCCCTGTGAATGCACCTGGGCAGGCAGTGGGAGTTACCAAGTCCTTGGGTCCTTGTCGCCTACGTGGGAGACCTAGGTAGAAATCCTGGCTCTGGCTTCAGCCTGGTCCAGCCCCAACCATTGTGGCTGTTGGGGAGTAAAGCAGTGAATACAAGTGAGTTCTCTTTCTTCCTTTCTGCTTTCACATAAGTACATCTTAATCTTAAAAAAGGAAAGAGACTGGGGCTTGTGGTACTCTGGGATTCACCAAGAGCAGAGGCCATTGCACTGCAGTGGGGCAGGGGCAAGGGATAGGAGCCAGCCAGGAACAATGTGGTCCTACCTTCTACCCTAGCAGACCTCAGCTCTCTGGAATTTGTCTATATTTAGCAGGTGCCTGGGCAGGAGGCAGATAAGCAGAGCTGGGGAGTAGGGGGGAGGCCCCCATATATAGTGAGGAGGCCGGGACCCCGCTCAGTCCCTGTCTGGGTGGTCTGTGCCTGCGTGGTGCCTGGTGCGACTTCTCTCTCACGATGCCTGAGCCAGGCAAGAAGGCAGGTGAGTCCTGGTCAGGGTCTGCGGCTAGGTAGGGGGTTAGGGACGGGGGCGTCTATAACTGGGGAGCAGGGCTGGGAAGAAGGGGTGGTGAGGATGAGGTTGCATTCTCTGCCCCATCCTTCTGAGGATGGAAGGGAAAGCCTGACACAGGGACCCGCAGGGCTGAGAGTGCCAGGCAGGGAGCAGCATGTCCCCAAAGCCAGCAGGTCCCAGGACCAGCCCCTGCACACCTCCTTCTCCGCTTCTACAGGCCTCCTGTCCGGCTCCCATAGGAGCCCAAGTTTAGCCTAGACAGGAGCCAGGCTCACCGCATGCCCTTGTACCAACCCTGCCTGCTCTGTGCCTCGGACTCCCTGTCTGTACAGGGAGGGCATGGCTTGGTTCTGTTCAGCTTGTGCAGCTCCAGCTCCACTCCCCAAAGCCGGACCTGGTCCAGGCTCAGGGCCTTGCAACCACCCCCGTTCTCTGGCGGAGAGCAGGCATGAGGTCCCTGAGCCCAGGCTAAGGGCAGAGAAACCTGCAGAGCGGGATCGGGCAAGGTTGCCCAGGGCAGGCTCCCAGCCCCCAGCCAGAGCCCAGTCTTATCTCAGTTGCTGATTCTCGGCTGAGGCCCTTGGAGGACAAATTTAGCCACATTCCATGTAAGTGGAGCTCCTGCTCCCTTGCCAACCACCCCGCTGCCCTGCCCCCTGCCCATGATGAGGTGGAGGGGGTGGGTCGGGTGGGTGGGAGTTGGGCTCAGCAGCGGTGAGTGGAACATTCAAAGTCCTGTGTGGAAATCAGGATCACAGCCTTGGCTTTCCTGCTACCTACTATGCACACATGTACAGTTCACCCAAACCTGTCCGGGCCTCAGTGTGCACATCTGAGAAACGGACATCCTAAGTGCACCTAAGTGATCGGAGACATAAAAGACATACTGTGTGATTTCACGAGACAGGCTGCAGGAGCAGGGCACACAAGTCCCCCGTCCCTGGACCCTCCCTCCCCGCCCTGCAATCTCCATCTGGCCCTTCAGTCTCAGCTTTCAGCAAGAAGCCAAGATCAGCAGAGGTGGCCACGGGCAGTGATGCTGTGTTTGAAGCTGAGACCGAGCGAGCAGGAGTGAAGGTGCGCTGGCAACGGGGAGGCAGTGACCTCGGGGCCAGTGACAAGTATGCCCTTGTGACCGAGGGCACGCGGCACACGCTGACCGTGAGGGATGTGGCCCCTGCTGACCAGGGCTCCTATGCGGTCATCGCTGGCTCCTCCAAGGTCAAGTTTGAGCTCAAGGTCATAGAGGCAGGTAAGACCTAGGTTAACTTAATTTGGGGTTTACACTTCTGCAAGCAGAGGAGGCCCCACCACTTCCCCTGGCCCCCTAGGGAGCTCTACTATTCACAGCCTTGCCTCAGCTTGGGCTCTTCCTTCTGTCCGGTGTGCCCTTTCCTGGTTCTGCAGTGAGATCCCCTGGCCTGAGCTGGTCCCCGTGCTGCAGGTTCAGGAGAATTCAGAGGCAGACAATGGCAGTCCCCAGGTGTAAGCGAGGAGGGGCCTGGCTGGAGGCTGCAGCCTGGGGAAGCAAGTAGGGAGGAACCTGCAGGTGGAGAGGTTGCTGAGTACAGGGCTGGTGGGGACCCAGCTCAGCATGAGCCAGCCCCACCCCCCCACCCCTATGAGGGACCCCCAGGCTAGGGGTGGGTGGGAGACAGGGTCCCAGAAGTACAACTGGGACCCAAGCACTTTGGACATCCTGCCATGATGAGTGGTGTGCGTGAGAGGGTAGAGACAAGGTCTCGGCTTAGAAGCTCTGCCATGACAATTCCCCCACCCCATCGATTCTGCTCCCTCCAGAGAAGGCAGAGCCCTTGCCAGCCCCTGCACCTGCCCCTGCTGAGGCCCCTGGAGTAGACCTGGCCCCAGCCACAGAGCTGGATGGCAGCGTCCCAAGTCCCGGAGGTGAGACAGCTGAGCAGAGATGGTCAGGGCTGGCTGGCAGGTGTGGGTGTGTCCCCAAGGCAGGTCCTGAAGATCTTTGCTCTACAGCCCCCAACGGTTTTGCCCCTGGCTGCCCTGGGGCCTCCGACGACCCTATTGGCCTTTTCGTGATGCGGCCTCAGGATGGCGAGGTGACCGTGGGTGAGTCTGGGCTACCGGGCAGAATAGGGAAGGCTGTGGGTGGGAAGGGAGGCAGGCAGCAGGGTACCATCCTGAGTCTCCTCTCACCAACACCCTCACTTGTTTTTTGTCCCTCTCCTGCAGGGGGCAGTATCACTTTCTCAGCCCGTGTGGCTGGGGCCAGCCTCCTGAAGCCCCCCACGGTCAAGTGGTTCAAGGGCAAGTGGATGGACTTGAACAGCAAGGTGGGCCAGCACCTGCAGCTGCATGACAGCTATGACCGGACCAGCAAGGTAGGGGCTGGCTGTCACACTATGGGGGGTAAGGAGGGTTCAGGGGACACAAGGAACAGCGACAGAGAGCTCTGGGGTGGGAGACACAATAGGGCATTGTGATAATGGGGGCATCCAGAAGGTGCGAAGAAGCGGCCTGGAGGACGGACCTGAGGGGCTCTTTGGGGGTACACAGAGAGGCCCTTAGATCTTGGGGTTCCACAGAATGCAGACAGACCTGGGGATGTCAGGGGGCATCCGGAGCATGTGTCCAACAAGGCTTGCATTGCAGGGGGCTACGGAAGCACCAGGGTCACCCACAGGTGAGGTTGAGTGGGTGCCAGAGCTGAGGGGGCTCCCAGGGACGGACCAGGGCAATTCCTCCCCACAGGACACCCAAATTTGGGAGATGCCATCACCGTCCCATTCCCTCAAGGCCAGTCCCCGGACCTTAAGCTCTGAGTCCTCCTTGTATTCTGACCCCCTTAGTCTCTGCTCCTCCTAACTTTTCACAGTCCTAAATCAGATGAGCGGGCTGCTAGCCACGCACGGCCGACAGGTTCAGCCATGTGTGTGGGCTCTGTCTTGCACAGTGTTTCATTGGCCCTTTTTTAAAAAAGAAGATTTATTTTATTTTTATTGGAAAGTCAGATATACAGAGAGGAGGAGAGACAGAGAGGAAGATCTTCTGTTCGATGATTCACTCCCCAAGCAGCCCCAAACACTGAGCCAATTTGAAGCCAGGAACTTTCTCCAGGTCTCCCACACGGGTGCAAGGTCCCAAGGCTTTGGGCCGTCCTTGACTGCTTTCCCAGCCACAAGCAGGGAGCTGGATGGGAAGCAGGACTGCTGGGATTAGAACTAGTGCCCATATGGGATCCCGGGATGTGCAAGGCGAGGACTTTAGCCACTTGGCTACAGCGCCAGCCCAAAGCATTTCATCATAAGCAGATGCCCATCATCATGGGCTTGCATTTTGCGCCAGCAGATGGCAGTCACAGGCCTGGAGAGGGATGAGAAGGTGGCTGGGTGTCTGCCACTCTGGGAGATTCTTGGTTCATCCCCCAACAGGTCTACCTATTTGAGCTGCACATCACCGACGCCCAGGTTGCCTTTGCCGGTGGCTACCGCTGTGAAGTGTCCACTAAGGACAAATTTGACAGCTGCAACTTCAACCTCACCGTGCATGGTGAGGGTCCTAGGCTCGAGCTCCCTGTGGATCCTGGTCCCCGGGGCCTGCCATCACTCTCTAACACCACGGGGCAGCACTTGGAGGGGTGGGAGGGCATCTGTGCTGAGCGGGTACCCGCTGCTCACACAGTGGGTGTGAGCAATTCATGGAGACCCCCAGGGCTGGGCTGGGGACTTCAAACCGAGCACAGACTTGACCTGCGGTGGGCTCTGCTTTAGTCAAGGTAAGGTCCCCTACTCCCAGCACAGAGACAGGCAAGCGGGAAGCTGAGACAGGAGGAGCCCGACCAGCTCCTTATCCTGGTAATGGTGGGGACCAGGAACTGTCCTTGGCCAGGAAGGCTGGCAGGTGGGCCTAACAGGTGGATGGCCACCCTCAAGGTGTAGTTGGGTGGGCTTGGGGGTTGTTGGAGACCCCAGTGCAGTGCCTTCCCAGTGCCCCTCTGAGGCCCCCTTTTACTCTTCTCTCGGAATCCAGAGGCCATTGGCCCAGGGGACCTGGACCTCCGCTCTGCTTTCCGCCGCACGTAAGTTGGGCAGGGCTGAGGGGTGGAGTCCTGCTAAGGTCTCAGGCCTGTGAGGTCAGGGCTGGGGGATGGGGAGGCAAGGCTCTTGAGAGGGAAGGCAAGCCAGTCCCCAAGGGCAGGTGAGCATTGAGAATCCAACTCCACAGGAGCCTGGCTGCAGGTGGTCGGCGAACCAGGTAGCCTTCCCCCATCCCTAACTGTACTGGTCACAGCCCCCTGTGTCCCCTCCCCATACTTCTACACTGCACCCCACCCCATCCTGCTCCCAAGTTCCTCCCAGTCCCCAGCGCTGCCCTTCTGCGCAGTGACGGTCACGAAGACGCCGGCACCTTGGACTTCAGCTCGCTGCTGAAGAAGAGGTGAGGTCGAGCAACGACATCCACTGAACAGGTTACTGTACCCCACTCTCCTCGCCCCAGGGTGGTCCATGGTGGGCAAGAACGATGGGGGGGTGGGCTCCGTACCACTGTGAATCACCCAAGTCGCCATGCCTGCCCTCCAAGCCTGGCCTGTGGGAGCTCCCGCCCTCCACCCTGGGCTCACAGGAAACAGGGATGGCCCTCGGGCTGCAGGAGTTGCCCACCAAGCCCACCCAGCCTGACCCGCGTCTCTTCTCTGTCCTTCCCCTCTCATTCGCATCACCTTCTGCCATGACTGCGGCTGCCCAGAGAGTAAGATGTGGGTTCAGGGTGCGCTGGGGCAGGCAGCAGTGTGCAGCAGGAAATCAGACCCTTGTTGGGGGCGGGGGAGTGTCTAGGACCTGCCCCGCCAGGGTTCTGTGAGAGGCTTTTACATAACACGGTGAGGGTCCTGATGGGATGGGCCCCCGTGCTCAGCAGCTGCATGGCTGTTGGGCAGTGTACACAGGAGGGAGCCCAAGGATGCAGGGGCTAGTTGCAGGGAGCAGGTAGAGGTCTGGGTGGGAGGGAGGTCTGACCTGTCCCGTGTCCTTTGCCCTCTATGTGCCCCTTGGAGCAGCAGCTTCCGGGCCCCAAGGTGAGTGCCCTGCCCTGTCCAGCACCCTGGCCTCCCCCTGGCTTCAGCCACAAACCCCTTCCCAGCCTCAGGCCCTCCTCAGCCACCCTGACCCGTAAACCTGGTCCAGAATCCATTAGGAGGGAAGGGGGCAGGGAGCTGTTACAGCTGCTGGGTCCTGGGGCCGAGGAAGCCTCATCCCGGGAAAGGGTGCAAGGGGAGTGAGGGACCTGTACCCTGCCCCCTGCCTTCCCCTAACCTTTGGTGGCCACTGAGTCCCCTCTGCGTGGATCCTGGGACCCAGGGACTCGAAGCTGGAGGCGGCTGCCGAGGAAGATGTGTGGGAGATCCTGCGGCAGGCGCCACCCTCGGAGTATGAGCGCATCGCCTTCCAGCACGGCATCACCGACCTGCGTGGCATGCTCCGCCGGCTCAAGGGCATGAAGCAGGAAGAGAAGAAGAGCACAGGTTAGCCCCGGCCCCGGCAAGCAGCGGGTGCAGGTTAGCCCTGCCCTCACCAGAAAGCAGCAGGTCCCGCTCCCACTCCTATAGCATAAGAGCAGAGCCCAGGCTGCCAACCCCAGTCCCACTCCTTGTGCAGGAAGAAACGAGTTCCCAGAGTAGTACAAAAGCGGGGTCACTGTTAAAACAGAATCAAGAGGGAGGGGAGGGACGCTTGCCTCACTCCCAGAAAATGCTTAATTCTGATGTCCTTCATCTGAGCAGAAGGAGATTCCAAGGAAGACAGGAGGATAAAAGAGAGAGAGAGAGAGAGAGAGAGAGAGAAAAGGGGTGACCAAAACAGGACAGAGATGAAGACAGAGTCACCCCCAAGACATAGACATGGGGAGACTGGGAGGGCTGACTGGAGGACCCAGGTTTGCCCACAGCCCCATGGCCAGGCCCCCCACACACCCTGCCGCTGCTCACCAGGAGCAGGTGTGGGGGGCGAGGAGACTGGGGCTGAGGAGTAGCACTCAGTCTTTCAGAAGAAGCTGGAGCCAGCCTACCAGGTGAGCAAGGGCCATAAGATCCGGCTGAGCGTGGAGCTGGCTGACCCTGACGCCGAAGTCAAGTGGTTGAAGAATGGGCAGGAGATCCAGATGAGCGGCAGGTGCGTGAAGTGCTAGGGTTTGGGCTGTGGTGAGAGCCTGTTGCCCTGTCTCTTTCTTTTTTCCTTGCTGGGTTACATTTCCCATGTTTCTGACTCTGTCTCGCTTCTTCTCTCCCTGTCCTACTCCCTTTTGGAATGCTCCACTGGCTTCTTCCATCCCACAGCAAGTATGTCCCCATCCTGGACGGCCTGGGGTGGGGACAGGGTGTCATCTGAACCTGAGGGAGGCACCCACGCCTCTCCTACTGCTCTCCTGGACCCTCCCCTTCCCCAGGTACATCTTTGAGGCAGTGGGCACCAAGCGCACCCTGACGATCAGCCAGTGCTCCCTGGCGGACGATGCCGCCTACCAGTGTGTGGTGGGTGGTGAGAAGTGCAGCACTGAACTCTTTGTCAAAGGTGGGTCCGGGACCACCTGCCCCAAGGGGATGGAGACCTGGGGAGGGGACGAGGTGGCCCCTGAGTGTCCTGTCCTCATGTTCTCACTGCTGCGGGACAGAGCCCCCAGTGCTGATCACGCGCCCTCTGGAGGACCAGCAGGTGATGGTGGGACAGCGGGTGGAGTTTGAGTGTGAGGTGTCGGAGGAAGGGGCCCAAATCAAGTGGTGAGTGTCAGGGACTCCCAGGCATGGACAGGGGGGTTGAAGATAGCTGAGCTGGGGGAGTCAGTTGCATCTGTGTAAAGGAGGCCACAGCCCCTGTCATTTTCCCCCTTACCCCTAACCGGCCAGGCTGAAGGATGGGGTGGAGCTGACCCGGGAGGAGACCTTCAAGTACCGGTTCAAGAAGGACGGCCACAAACACCATCTGATCATCAACGAGGCCACACTGGAGGACGCAGGCCACTATGCGCTGCACACCAGCGGGGGCCAGACTCTTGCGGAGCTCAGCGTGCAGGGCGAGTACCCCACCTGCTCACCAGGAGGTTGAGGGAGGCAGACATGGTGATGGGAGGATTGGTTGGGCCTGCTCAACGTCATTCCTGGAACGCTTGAGTTTCTCAGTGTGCACTGCGTCACATGGGCCCAGTTGACCCCTCTGCGACACATGCACGTGTTACATGGATGCACACAGTCGTCAATGCTTGTCTTGCCAAGGCCACACATGTCCAGACACGCCCCCATCCTCACAGAAATCGACACCCACACCCTCCTCCCCAGGAGCTCACTGCTTCTGCCTTTCCCCTCACACGCTAGAGAAGAAATTGGAGGTGTACCAGAGCATTGCGGATCTGGCCGTGGGGGCCAAGGAACAGGCCGTGTTCAAGTGCGAGGTCTCAGATGAGAACGTGCGAGGCGTGTGGCTGAAGAATGGGAAGGAACTGGTGCCAGACAGCCGCATCAAGGTGTCCCACATCGGGCGGTAAGTGTGTGTAGGCAGCCAAGGGGGATGAGCAGAGCAGGGATACGTAGGGAGAGAGACAAACACGTCCAAGGAGAAGCCACACGTGGAGAAGGGAGAGGGACAGAGGGTCAAGAGCACGAGAGATGGGCCAACTGGTGACCCAAGCAGAACGGGAGGCCAGGGCCCTTTGATTCATCCCTGGGGCAGCTGAGCCAGCCGTGCTGGGCCCAAGTTTTCAGGGATTAACATGTCCCAGCCCTGCTCGGGCTTCAACAGCCCTGCCAAGGAGATAGTTTGATGTAGAATCTGTCTCCACTGCCGGCTTCGGACAATGCTTGAGGGAGCTGGACAGCCCAGAGATAGAGAAGCAAAGCATTCTCTTTCAAAGTCAACACACCCACGAGCCAGGACAAAGCTAAGGCCTGCTGGAGCCCCAGCTGGGGGTGTCTGGGGAAGACAGTGGTATGTGTGGCCCTGGGGAGACAGCAGAGGTCAGGGCAGGTCCCCTGAGCCACCACCACCTTGCAGGGTCCACAAACTGACCATCGACGACGTCACGCCCGCTGACGAGGCAGACTACAGCTTTGTGCCTGAGGGCTTTGCCTACAACCTGTCTGCCAAGCTCCACTTCATGGGTGAGCTGATGCTCCGGGGGAGGAGGCATGGGGGTGGCAGAGCCAACATGCCAGGCCCCGCCCTGCCCTCTATGCTACCTGCCTTTCTTCTCTTGTAGAGGTCAAGATTGACTTCGTGCCCAGGCAGGGTGAGTCTGGGGTCCCTGCGTGCTGCCTGGACTCTGCCCCCTCCTCCCTTCCTCTGGCTCCACCCTCCACTCAGACCTAAATGAACAAGGCTCTGGGCATGGAGTCCTTAGACCTAGCCCTGCCACTTATGCCCAGGGACCACTTAAATTCTCTCCTAGCCTCTTTATCATCTTTGAAATGGCAGTGTGGGTGGTGCCTCCTTCTTGGGGTGGTTATGGAGAGGAGGTGAGGCTGAGACCAAGATGCCAAATGAAGTTCCTAATGTCCAAATGTAACACCCTTTGCGTCTTTGGGAGATCCCTCCCCACACTGGATCTATTTTATGGTATCATTCATTGCAGCAGGGTTCTGTGGCGAACAGTTTGGTAAACACTGACCGTTTATTCCAGCTGTTGGTGATTCAGGGGCCATTGACTTCCCCTCATCTCTTTGCCACTGGTTAAAGGTTCTGAAAAAGCCATGATCAGGAAGCTTAAACTTGGTTTATTTGACCATGGAAATGATTTTATCCATCCAGTGAAAAAGCTGGGGGTGATGGAATGTTCTAGAGCTCGATAGGGTTGGCGGTTATTTGGGTGAAAACATTTGGTCAGACACACCAGAAGAGGCTCCAGTCCACTCAGTTGGTCCTATATGAATGGTGCCCCCACAAAAGTGAGGGTCAAAAGCCAATAGCCAAGGTCATGGGCTCCCAGCAGTTCCTATGCCCCACCCAGGTTCCTCTCTGGCCATGGCCCTGGCTGTCTCCCCTCTCTGACCTATTTCATTGTTCCCTGCCCCCACCCCAGAGCCTCCCAAAATCCACCTGGACTGCCCTGGCCGCACACCAGACACCATCGTGGTGGTGGCTGGAAACAAGCTACGCCTGGACGTCCCCATCTCTGGGGATCCTGCTCCTACCGTGATCTGGCAAAAGACCATATCACAGGTACCATAGCACCCAATGGTGAAAGAAGTATGTGGGACCACATACCATCCCATCGCGCATGCTCCTGTTCCGTGGCTGGTCACCTGCTGGGGATGACAGGTGGGGAGGTGAGAGGAGACAGGGGTCCCTCCAGGCTTCTCTCCTGCTCTGTTCCCAGGGGAAGAAGGGCTCCGCTGTATCAGCTCCTGATGCCTCACAGGATGCCGGTGACAGTGACGAGTGGGTGTTTGACAAGAAGGTGAGCCAAGTGTTTTTGTCCCTCATTGCTTCCTCTCCCTGGAAGTGTGCATTGGCTCAGGTGCACACATCTGCTTGGGTGTGAACCTGCCTGGGTGTGCACCTGCCTGGGTGTGCACCTGCCTGGGTGTGTACCAGGCCATGTGTGCCCCTGCCAGGGTGTGCACCTGCCCTAGGAAGGGTCCGCCCTAGTGGAGTATGTAACTGAAAGGCGTGAGGGACCTGATGCCCTGGACATTGCCAAGAAGCCCTTGTGACTGGGCTGCTCCCTAGGTCCTGGATGCTCACCACAGCTGTGTGGGAGGGAGACTGAAGCACAGTCTCCAGCGTGACCCACAGACCTAGCACGAAGGCAGATCCAAGGCCCTTTGTCCTGGTGCTCCCCCATTCATTAAAGGCTTTTGAACGTCATGCTTGCTCTTCCTCTCCCCCATCTCTGTCATGGCTGTGGGCTCCTGTGCTGGGCTCCCCCCACCCCCACCTCAGAGCCCTTACACCATTGCAGGGGCCTTGGGGCTCCAACTTGGGCTCTGACCCAACTTCCCATCCCCGCAGCTGCTGTGTGAGACTGAAGGTCGGGTCCGGGTGGAAACCTCCAAGGATCGCAGCGTCTTCACGGTCGAGGGGGCAGAGAAGGAGGATGAGGGCATCTACACTGTCACGGTGAAGAACCCCGTGGGCGAGGACCAGGTCAACCTCACAGTCAAGGTCATCGGTGAGGCCACCTAGGGTTCCAGGGCTGAAAAAACAGAGGAACAGCCCCAGGGAGGGCCTGGGCCATTCAGCCGTTGGCCCAGATGGGGCCACCACATGGGGCATCTGTGTGGACTAGGGCAGTGGCCGTGGGGGATGAATGGGGCTGGCGTTTCTGTCTGCAGATTTGCCAGGACACAGCTGTGCCCAAATTAAGTCTGAGCTGGGAGCAACCCCTTGTACCTGGGGGAGGTGACGCCTGTAGGGAGGCATCTTGGGGAAGGCATCTTGGGCAGGGCAAATCGCACAGAGAAGGAACGGATGAATGAATAGACGGATCACGTAGACCTGTGACACGAGCCGATGCACATTCTAGAAACAGGCTGTTGGTCCCGCAAGTGCTGAAAGAACCGTGTGGTCCCCTCTCTTCCCTCCAGATGTGCCGGATGCTCCTGCAGCCCCCACCATCAGCAACGTGGGCGAGGACTCCTGCACCGTGCAGTGGGAGCCACCAGCCTATGATGGTGGGCAGCCGATCCTGGGTGAGTCCTAGGGCCCCAGGGCAGGGTGTGGGAGGAGGTGCATGGAGGACAGGGTGGGTAGGGGGAAAGCACGGGGGTGCCAGGGCTCTAGCCTTCCCCCACTCCCAATCAGAGATCCCACCTCTCCCCCTGACCAGGCTACATCCTGGAGCGCAAGAAGAAGAAAAGCTACCGCTGGATGCGGCTCAATTTCGACCTGCTGCCGGGGCTGAGCCACGAGGCGCGGCGCATGATCGAGGGCGTGGCCTATGAGATGCGCGTGTATGCAGTCAACGCTGTGGGAATGTCCAGGCCCAGCCCTGCCTCCCAGCCGTTCATGCCTATTGGTGAGCTGGCACTGCCCCCAGGCTGTCTGTGCTGCCCCCTCCCATCTGCTCTGTTGGGCTGCCACTGCGCTGGACATGAACACCTGGAGTTGTCTTGAATCCTTAGCTGGGGAGAGCCCACCCCCATTTTACAGACAAGGAAACTGATTCTTGGGAAGGTAAAGTGACCGGCGAGACAGCACTGTCCCTGTGTTGGGTTGTCAAGCCTCACTCTCCGCGTCTGTGAAATGGGGATAACACCATGTGCTTTAGAGAGCTGTCATTAGGATGGACTGAGATAAGGCGGGCAGGGCACCTTGCATGCAGTAGGGGTTTACTGAATGCTAACTGTTCCCCGCCCCTTCAACTCAGGATTTGTTGGTGGGATCAGAGGGAGCACCCATGGGCTGAGGCCTGACTGGGAGAGTCCCTAGGAGGTGTGTGGCTGGTGGGGCCAGCTCCAGAGTTCCTAGGAAGTCACCGGGAGTCCCCTCTCTCCCTGGAGACTTTCTTCATCCCTGCAGTGGACATCTGGAAGGAGAAAGCAGAGGCTAAGGGCGTGGCCTTGGCCCTCCCAGGGTGTGTGTGGGGGGAGGCTCCCTAAGCCCAGCTTGGGGGGACAGCAGGAATTGGCAGGCGCCTGTGTCAGAAGGGGCAGCTTGCTGTGCTCTGGGTCACCTAATGACACAGCTTGGTCCACATCTTCTGGCACAGGTGTTCTTCCTATTAGATCCTTAACTGTGGCTTGGGGACAGTCTGCTTTGAGTTTGGTGGGCAGGGGTGGATCCAGGGTGGTGGTTGCTGCAGGCTCACTCACAGGGGACCCCCTCCTACCTCCTCTCTGCCCAGGCCCCCCAGGTGAACCCACCCACCTAGCCGTGGAGGACGTCTCTGACACTACAGTCTCCTTGCGGTGGCGGCCACCAGAGCGTGTGGGAGCGGGTGGCTTGGATGGCTACAGCGTGGAGTACTGCTGGGAAGGCTGTAAGTGCTTGGCCCCCATGCTCCCCAGGCTGGCTCTGGGGCACCCCCAGGCCCGGGCCCCAGCCGGCCACACCCAGCTCAGGGCTGGAGCAGCAGGGCTGGGCTGTCCCTTACTGACCCCATCCCATTTCCATGGGCAGGTGCTGAGTGGGTGGCTGCCCAGCAGGGACTGACGGAGCGCACATCCCTGTTGGTGAAGGACCTGCCCACGGGGGCCCGGCTGCTCTTCCGTGTGCGCGCACACAACGTGGCAGGGCCTGGAGCCCCTATCACCACCAGGGAGCCCGTGACTGTGCAGGAGATACTGCGTGAGTGCCCCCCAGTGGTCCATCCACAGAGCCTGACCAGGAGAACGGGGCTGACCAGGGCAGGAGGGGCTGAGGCCTCAGGTGTGTCCTTGGCTTCGGGCACTCTTGGTTCTTCCACAGCAGCTACCCCTCCACTTTTTGGGGGAACAGAGAAAATCTAGGTCGTGATGCCCAGGCTCAGTCAAGTCCCCCAGGCCCCGTGGACAGGAACTGTCTGTGTCCTGAGGACTGAGCCATGAGGCCACTATGGGTCAGTTTGGGCCACCTGGGATCCACTTGTGTTCCTCTTTCTAGTTCTCCTACGGAATCTCCATCCTGTTGGGGGCTGGTTCTTAAAGCTGGAGGGAGGCAGCTAACCAGGCAGGACACAGCATTAGAGTATAGGGTCTGAAAGCCTTGCTTTGCCTGGCTCATGGCTTTATAGGCTGTGTGGCCTGGAATGAGTAGCTCAGCCTCTCTGATCCCTGCCTCCAGTAGCAGTGTAGCCAGGTACAAGTGGGAGGAGAAGCTTGGTGAGGCATTTGGGAATGGGCAGTCTGGGTTGTTATGAGTTAGGGGAAGGCCAGAGGAGGGACAGGGCCTGGCAGGCAGCTTTCCCCTCTCCCCTTAGCTGAAACTGAGTCGGCTCTGTCTCAAGTGAGAGACTGGAGCTGTGGAGCTCCTCAGGGCTAGGGTTGGGGTGGGCATGGTTTAGCCATCCCCTCTGTACTCACAGAGCGACCACGGCTCCAGCTGCCCAGGCACCTGCGCCAGACCATCCAGAAGAAGGTTGGGGAGCCTGTGAACCTCCTCATTCCTTTCCAGGTAGGGCTCTGACCCCCTTTCCTGTCCCCAAGGCTGAGGCCACGTTTGTGGTTCATGCTGTGTCTTAGGAACACTCCCCCCGCCACCCACCCACATACATACACACACGTGAGGTTAGCCCAGTGACTGGCCCTGGCAGAGAACCAGGCGCACGGTGCAGCTGTCCCACCCCTAGGGCAAGCCCCGGCCTCAAGTGACCTGGACCAAGGAGGGGCAACCACTGACCAGCGAGGAGATGAGCATCCGCAACAGCCCCACAGACACCATCCTCTTCATCCGGGCTGCCCGCCGTGCCCACTCGGGCATCTACCAGGTGGCAGTGCGCATTGAGAACATGGAGGACACAGCCACTCTGGTCCTGCAGATCGTGGGTGCGTGACTGCCAGCCTCCCTCCACATTCACACCCTGGAGTTGGGCTGCCAGGGGCAAGGAGGCGGGCCTCAGCTGTGGTTCAGGTGGTGGGGGGAGGGAGGTAAGCTGAGCTGATCCTCCTTCTGCAGACAAGCCAAGCCCCCCGCAGGACATTCGGGTGGTGGAAGCATGGGGTCTCAATGTGGCTCTGGAGTGGAAGCCGCCCCAGGATGACGGCAACACGGAGCTCTGGGGTTACACAGTGCAGAAAGCTGACAAGAAGACTCGGGTGAGCCTGGGTTCGGGTCCCCCTTGCAGCACCCCCTCTGAGCAGCCCAGGGAGGCCATTGGCAGCAGTGGTAGGGGAGGCAAGCTACCCTCTGAGGTCTGCCTTGCCCCCTGTGCCCCAGGAGTGGTTCACAGTCCTGGAACATTACCGCCGCACCCAATGCATAGTGTCTGAACTCGTTATTGGAAACGGCTACTACTTCCGGGTCTTCAGCCATAACATGGTGGGCACCAGTGATACAGCTGCCACCACTAAGGAGCCTGTCTTCATTCCCAGACCAGGTGATCCCTCCTAATTCCCACATGGGGATCTGGAGCTGAGAGGTGGGCAGGGGATGGGGGAAGCAGGGGCACCAGAGCCTGGCTTGGTGGGGCCCTCTTGACACCAAATTGTTGCCTGTCATCCACAGGTATCACATATGAGCCACCCAACTACAAGGCCCTGGACTTCTCCGAGGCTCCAAGCTTTACCCAGCCCCTGGTGAACCGCTCCATCATCGCGGGTTACACCACCATGCTGTGCTGCGCCGTCAGGGGCAGCCCCACGGTAGGGAAGCTGGGGCTCTGGTGCAGCCTGACCCAGGCAGCAGGGCTCACAGGTGTAGTCCTCTACCTCCTGGGAGTGGGGTGGGAGACATCTGCAGGGACCTCTGCTTGCAACAGGCCTTGGTCCTCCCCATCCACTCTGAGTTCAAGCCCAGCCTTCGGCATGGTCTGGGATTTGTGGTATTTACTGCCAGAGTAGAAATAAGTCTGTCTAGGGCTTGCACCCAGTACCCCCTCAGCCTGGGATGGTCTGTCTCCACTTGCAGCCCAAGATCTCCTGGTTCAAGAACGGCCTGGACCTGGGGGAGGATGCCCGCTTCCGCATGTTCAGCAAGCAGGGGGTGCTGACCCTGGAGATCAGGAAGCCCTGTCCATTTGACGGGGGCATCTATGTGTGCAGGGCCACCAACTTCCAGGGCGAGGCGCAGTGCGAGTGCCGCCTGGAGGTGCGAGGTGAGGAACCCTCAGGTGTGACCCTGCTGTCTGGTACCAGCTGAGTCCTATCTGGGTGGGTCCCAACTCCCTGGTGGGGAGGTCCCACATGATGTGGCCTTCTCTCCTGCAGTGCCTCAGTGACCCAGGCTGGCTTCCAGGGATGGCCAGGTACGGAAGCTGGATGGGACTGAGCTTCGGGCTTTTGGTGGGCTGGTGTTCAGGCCTCGGGTCACTCACAATGGAGCCCCCCATTACAGGCACAACTGGATGCCAGCCCCTCCCACCTGAGAGCCGAAGAGAAGCCAGCGAAGCCAGCATCCTGCTCCTGGATATGTGTGTGTGTGCAAGGAGCTGGGGCGGGGGGTGGGCAGCAGCGATGGAGCAGGCTGAGTGGGCTCTGCTCACAGCAGACCATTAGCACCCCCACAAAAGCTCTCAGAACAGGGGGCAAAGAATGGGCCAGCCTCCTGCCTGGCCTGTCTTCTCAATAAAGGATGAGCACAGCCTCAGAACGGAGCCTTTGTGTGCAGTGGGCTCTGGAACACTGGCTCATCACATGTAGCTGCTTCCTGGATGCTGATACAAGACCAGAGAATGGTTCTAACCTAACGTGAGCAATGAGCACTAGACCCTCGGTCTACTTCCACATTCACTCCTCGGTTGGGGGGGTGGAGGAGCTGGCATAGAGGGTAGCCTAGCATAGCTCTTCTGCTCGGGAGCCTGTGCCCACCACCTGTAGTCTTGGCAGGTGGGTGTGGGCTGTGTCCACAAGTGCTGGGGTTGAGCGGCATGGGGCTGCTGGAGCCCTGGTGAACAGCAAGTCCTGGATCTCAGGCAGCAGAGGCAGTCCTGTCCTCCCTGACACTGCGGGCCAGGAAGGCCTCCCCTGTTGAGGCAGGCCCGATTCTGGGACGGCCTGAGTTGTGGTCAACCTGGGACACTCCTGGCCCAGGACCCAGAGCCAAGAGCCTGGCTTCAGGCAACTGTTTGGGCCCCTAACCCTGGCTTGGCACCACAGCCCTGGGGGAAGGAAAGCTCCTTGTTCCAGCTTCTCCCCAGGATCCTGGGGCTTGTTGGGCAGCAGCTGGACTTCAGCCCAGGTATGGGTGACCCTACCTCCCTCATTGCCTGCCCCAAGGGCATTTTTGGAGTCCAGGCGCAGCCCTGCCTCAGGCCTGGACTGGGGAGGAGACCTCATTGACCACAGGGCAGCCAGGGAGGCCAGCAGGAGTTGAGGACATTTATTTCATGATCACGTGGCTGTACATCTTCTATAAATAACATGGAGCAGGAATATCTACATCCTCCCTCACCTTCCTCCCCCAGCCATCTTGCCCACCTGGCACCCATGCCAGGAGATGCTGAGTGGATTTTACTTGGCCTTTCCCTGACCCTTGGACAGAGCAACCAGTGGGACACTGCTAGCCTCCTTCCAGGGAGGGAAGTCAGTGCCCAGCACAGGGCCGCCCTGGGTGATGCTGCTGGCTTGGGAGATGTGAAGGAGACTGGGAAGTGTGGCTCACTCAGCTATCCCCAGACTCCTCCCTTCCCCTCCCTGCTCACCCCTCAGTTGGGAGAGCAGGCTCAGGTCTCCCCCTGGCTACCCAGCATGGACCTGCTCCAGGAGCCTGGTCAGGCTGAGTCACACAGGGTGTAGAGCTGGCTCCTGCACTAGGGGCATGTGGGGAGTGGCAGTCAGGGTGCCGGGGTGAGAACGAGAGACCACAACACCAACATCTACAGGACACGCCATGGTGGGCTCACACTGGCCCATCTCTTTCTCACACACACACACACACTCTCTCCCTCTCTCTGTTGGGACAGCTCGCCTTCTGGGAGTAGAAGGGAAGAGAAGGTGGCAGGGGCTAGCTTAGCCCTGGACAGAGGGCTCAAAGACACACTCAGACTGAGGCATGCCTCGCGGAGCACACTCACACCACCGCCCACGTCTTGGTGCTGATGGGAGCACTGTGCACGCGGACACAGCAGGGCGTGGCGGTGTCCCCTGGGCTGGCGGCTGCTGCGCCCCTGTCAGCTGGAGACAGGCCGAGGTGGGGTTCGGAGACCTTCCTCGCTGCTGTGCGCGGCGGCCACATATGAGAAGAGACACAACACGGAGTAGCAGATCTCGTGGGCCTAGAAGGAGAGAAGTGCGCACAGGTTGGTCCTGCCAAGACCCCAGGGTCTTCCTGTGAGGAGGCTGTGCCAGGCCGCCAACTCCTGCCCTCACAGTAGGGTATGCAGCCTCGGAGGCTGGCCCCAAGGGAGAGCGGGCTTGGGATGCATGTGCCTGCTGCCTCAACTGTCTCTAGCACCTGCAGCACCCACCCTCCTCCTGGGTTGAGGTCCCCTAGCAGCCCTGGCATATCAGGGCCAGGTGGCACACTCACCATTGGTGTCTTGTACTTGTGGCTCACCACTTCTTTAATTTCAGGAACTAAAACCGGACAGGCAAGAGACAAAACAGAAAGTTCAAAACTAAGAGTGACAGTGCCAGGTTCCCTCAGGTGGCACTGCTTGGCACCAGGGTCCCCGTCCCCTCTTGTGGTCTCTTGTAGTGGTTGCAGCAGCTCAGGGTACTGCAAGGTATCAGCCCCCAGAGCTTCTGTCTGGGCCCTGCCCCAGACTGCCCTGCCGGGGGCCTGCTGGTGCTCAGTGTTTGACATCTGTGGCTCTGCTGGGCCCAGTCTGGTCCAGCACTGTCCCAGGGCACCTGGGGGCTGGCAGTGGGCAGTTCCCAGATCCAAGCTGGGAGAGGAGTGCCGTCTCTAGGCTGTGCCTCACCTTGCTGAAATGACCATGTACTTAACCCTGTCAACAGCCCCAAAGTCTGGGCATGTGATGCACACACAGATCCCTTTAGTTCCCCAGCCCCTACCCAGAGGGTCCTGAGGCTACGGGAAGAGGTAGCCTGCCAGTGTCCTTCCCTGCGTGGCAGGAGGAGCCCAGGCCCGCCTGTGTGAGGGAGAGCGTCAGAGGGCTCGGGAGCAGACACATGGAGCGGGAGGCAGGCGGGGGCAGCACCCAGAGAGCTCAGGCAAGTACACACATGTCCACAGCCCAGAATGCCACACTCAGAGTCGCCCTGTCCCAGCCATGCAGGGGTTCTGCCTGGCTACAGGAAGGAGAGGGTCCCCCCCATCAAGGCTTGGCCACCATCACAGGAGCACAGGGATGTGGTAGAGCCCTGGGAGCCAGAAAAAGTAGGGTGAGAGTTGGCACACCTTCTCCTGATCCTGGGAGTAGAATTTGGGGGACTGGGAGTTAGCAGATTAAACACTCGTTAAAGGCCAAGCAAGTTGCCAGACTCCCCCCAAACATCTCTCTGGCAAAACAGAGAAGGGAGCACAGGGGCAAGGGGGTGAAGGGGAGGGGAGAGAGGAAGAGACACAGTGGGAAGTGGCAGTGGGAGCGGCTGGAGTTGGGGGAGGAAGCCCGCCCACCGGCTGCAGGGCCTGCAGGACCTGGGGGGTAGGCAGCAGGAGCCGAGCCGAGGTCACTTTACCTGCTGGAGAATGAAGGTTTTCATAGCAGCGATGAGGGCCACAAAAGAACGAAGCACAGACACAGCCGAACTCAAAGCCCCAGAGCGAGACCCTCCCTGCACCACGCCCTAGCACCTGCTGAAGGGGCGGATGGCGCCTGGCTTCCACTGCCATTCCCCCAAGGCACAAGACCTGCCAGGTCTCCCTGCCCCCCCACCATGGCGGGTGTGCCCGCAATGCCCCATGCCCCTCTTCTAGCACAGGGACAGAAGGGACAGCAGAGCTGGGCCAGGGGGCCTGGGGAGAGTGCTGGGCTGCTGGAGTCTGGCAGCAGGCAACATGGACACAGCAGAGCTCGGGCATGGCCGGCCCGATGGGCCCCAGGTCTTTCCGATTACCAGCTCGGCTGCTGGCCAGGGGAGGGGAGGTGGCGCTACCTCCCCGAGCCTCTTGGGTGCCACCTTACACTGGCTCTTCCGCAGCCACTTGCCGGGGCTTGCCCTCTCCATCCCTGCCCATCTCGGGCTCCCCCTTCCTTGGGCCCTGTCACTCCTTGCTCTCCTGACATCTCAGCAGAGGCGTTTCTTCTCCCTGCCCCTCATGCCTCCTCTGGAGCGCCGAGGTCTGAGTTACTGCCATGGGAGTCCAGACCTAAGAGCAAAATAGTGTAATTACCAAATTCCTCCAGGACAAAGACGCCTCGAACTGTATTGCACTTTTTAATGTGATTCAGCTCTATGAAAACCTGCAAGAGAGGGAGGGAGGGTGGGGTGAGGCCTAAAGGCTCCGCCCCGGTGCCCCCACGAGCCCGCTCTCCCGGCTTCTGCCCCATGCCCACACAGAGGGAGGACAGAATCACACACAAACACGCACACAAGCGCGCGCACACACATGCACACGCACACACACACAAACTCCAAAGCGCTAAGAAGCAAAGACAGCAGAAAGGGTGTGTACCTTCCGCTCCTGGCCGGAGGAGAAAGCATGGGAGAGAAATGAAGGCGTTAGTTTTAACGGTCAAGTCCAACCCGAAGGCCCCTGTGTTGGCCTGGGCTGCCCGCCCATGCACTCTGCCTGGGCAGTGCTCCAAGGACACGGTGCCCTGTCTTCCCCCTCAGCCCGTCAGGTCTCGACCCTTCCATGCATCCTCCTCCGGCGCAGAGGGGCTGGCACGGGCGCAAAGCTCCCCGGAGGAATAGGGGGAGGACTGTCCTTAGGGTAGGAGCGCTGGGGTCTCCCAGGATGGCTGTGGCGATTGGGTTAACAGCTGCCACTTGCTGGGCGCCTCCTGGGAGGTCTGTGATCCTTACGCCTCAGTGGGTACAGTCTACGGGCGACTCCTGCCTCAGTGTCCAGCCTGAGGATCAACAAGCCAATCTACGAATAACAAGATGGGGCTTCAAATCCTAGAACATCTTGGCTCCAGGCCGATGCCTGTCCTGTTTTGACTCCACCACTGCCCAACTCTGCAGGGAGGGTCTGGCGTGTCCCCTTGTGTGCCATCTGAGTGCTGTGTGGCAGAGGCCACACCATAGGCCACCATCTCGTTACCAGAGGGGCTAGGCCAAGAAGTTGACATTTACTCCCCCTGCAGAGGGGGTCTCTGCTGGGCCTGAGTCAAAGGCAGAGTGCCTCACTCTCCTGCTTGTCATGGTGTCAGTGTGGCAGACACCCCCAGGGCAGGGCCCCGTATCACTTAAGATTTTCATCTTTGGGAGAGGAAGTCATAGCTCTAAAACATGGCCAGAAACCTGCTCCCTGAGAAGTGCCAGCATCTGGGTGGCCCAGGAAAGCACTTAGGCAAACTCCACTTGGGGCTGATCCCAAGGAGTTTATGGGTTTAATGCCCTCCTAAGCCCCAGACTGAAACCAGTGAGGAGCTGTGCCTGAGCTCAGGAACTGGGGTGTGGCCTGGCGGTAGGGGTGGGAGCCTCAGGGAGAGGAACTGGCCCATCAGGGAAGTGGGAGGCAAGGCACTTGGGTGACGTCGGAGCTGTGGATGGAACTGGGATGATGCGCTGGCCTCAGAAAGAGATTAGCCTCAAGAGTGTCCACTGAGAGAAAAAGTAAGACTGTGTTAAAAAGGCCGGGAGGGAGACAAAGGCAGCTCCTAGGGTGGCATCGCCACGAGGCAGAGATGATCCTTGAGTGCTCCCCCACCACGAGAAGGGGCACAGGGCCTGTGGAGCGGTGGGGGCGGGAAGGGGGGAGACAGAGCGGGGACATTCAAAGGAAGGGAGAGAATGAGAAGGACAATCGGCGGGAGAAGGAAACGGCAAAGAAACACACGCACTTCCAAGAAGACAGAGCCAAGTCGCCCGTCCGTGCACGCAGACACACTGGAGGAGCTCAGCCAGTCCAGACTCTCAAAGCAAAACCACCAAGCCAAGCATGCCCTGGGGGGGGGAGGAGGGGCAGGGGCGCTGCGGACAGGGGCCGAGGGAGACGCTCCCACTCACACTGTGCGAGACTAACTGCCGGGCAGCGTGTCCCCCAAATCTCACTGTCTCTCAGCCTCCCACCACGCTTTCTTGCTTTGCCGCCAGCGTGGTCACTGATGTCACTGTGCCCTCCCCTTGCTGTCTCTTGGGTCCAGCTGCTCCAGTTGGCCCAGTGGCCCTCTCTCACGCTCACTGGGAAGAAGGTCCTTGGGGACCTGGACAGAGATCCCTACTTCAGCTGGAAGTACAGGGGCAGGCAGCCTCGGGCTGCCTCCTCCACCTACCTGGTTATGCATGAACTTGAGATTGATCCCTTCCAGAGTGACCTGCAGCAAGCCACCCTCACCAGTTTTCATGTCCTGCACAGGGAACTCGCCACCTAGTTCAGGCCCTGTGGTGAGGGAGGGGGTATCAGCTGGCCAGTGAGGCCGGACAGCCCGTGCCCGACTTCCTCGTTGGACCTCCACCATGCAGGGGGACCAGTGAAGACCCCCTCTGAGGGACGCGCTGTCTTCTCACCAGGCTTGATACTCTGCTGCCGGGCGGCCGCACGCTCCATGCTGTCCTTCACGCAGTAGTACAGTTCGCGACACTGAGGCCCAGGATGGAGGGAGAGAGAGCTGCTGTCACACGAGCCTTCTGGGGCTCCCCACCCGCTACCCTCTGATGGTTGCTGAAGGCTAACGCTGACACCAGGGCTCAAGGACACTTGTGTCCCACACAACAGCTGGGGACCCAAAGGGGGTGCTCCCGACATGGATCCTTTACTTTCTTAGCTTGTAATTTGGCCTTCGCTGCTCAACCCACCCCAAGGCCTACACCTGCTGGCAGCCTGAGTACCTTCTTAGTGTAGAACTTGTTGAGCTGGGTTTCAGAGCCATTTCGACGCCACAAGCACAACACTTTGGTCTTGGGGCAGTACGTCATATTGATGAGTTTCTCGTACCACCAGCGCTCATGGACCGTCCCGATGTTACTGCGCAGCACCACACAGTCATCACACACCTGGGTGAGCCAACAGAGCCGCTAGGTGGCACTGGTCTCTGCAGAGCCTTGCCCACCCCTGGCCTCATGACACTGCTTCTCACATGACAATGATGGGGCAATTGGGTCCTGGGCACCATGTAGGCAGACTTTCTGCCCGGTGGAGACACACATACACACACACCATACATACACACCACTACTGGACATCATATCTGCTAAGGCTGTTGAAAGCAATAAGGCACTGGGGTTGGCATGATGGCCTACCAGGCTAATTTTCTACCTGCAAGCCCTGACATCCCATATGTGTGGCAGTTGGTGTCCCAGCTGCTCTACTTCCCATCCAGTTCCTTGCTTATGGGCTAGGAAGGCAGTGGAGGGTGACTCAGATCCTTGGGCCCCTGCATCCATGTGGGAGACCAGGGGAAGAAGCTCCTGCATCCTGGCTTTGGATCAGTTCAGCTCTGGCCATTTGTGGCCATTTGGGGAGTGAACACCTCTCTCTGTCTTTCCTTCTCTCTTAAAATCCATCATTCAAGTAGAAATAAGTCTTAAAGAAAGAAATGAGGGCACTGGAAGGATACTGTGTGCAAGCACACAGGACTCCTTCACCTCTGCCATCTTTGTCGTGTCCTGTACCCTAACAGTGTTCCCAGCATGTCTCCTGCCTCACTTGTTAACCTTCAGAGTCAGCTCCACGGACAAAGGCAGGAGACGTGGCAGACTTAACCAATGCATTTTCTAATTCATTCTTTCTTTCTTTCTTTCTTTCTTTCTTTCTTTCTTTCTTTCTTTCTTTCTTTCTTTCTCTCTCTCTCTCTCTCTTTCTTTCTTTCTCTTTCTCTCTCTCTCCCTCTTCTCTTTAGATTCATTTATTTTATTTGAAAGTCACAGTTAGAGAGAGATATGGAGCAATCTTCCTTCCATTGCTTCACTCTCCAAATGGCCGTAATGGCTAGGGCTGAGCCAGACCAAAGCCAGAGCCGGGATTCTTCCAGATCTCCCACGCTGTTAGCAGAGGCCCAAGTACTTGGGCCATTGTTTATTGCTTTTGCCAGACCATCTGCAGGGAGCTGAATCAAAAGTGGAACATTCAGGACATGAACTAGTGCCTATATGGGAATGCCAGCATTGCAGATAGTGGTTTCAACTGCTGTGTCATAATGCCAGCCCCCCTTCCCTATTCTACAAAAACATTCTTATAACTAATTTCAGAATAAATATGAACAATGTTCACTGCATAAAAATTATATAAAACACGAGGCAGGCATGCATGCAGTGGATGAGACTGCGTTGCCTAGCGGAATGTTCAGGTTCAAGTCCTGGGCTCTGTTCTGACCCAGTTTCCTGCTAACGAACACAGGAGTCGTCAGACTGCCTGGCTTCTACTTCTCATTCTGCCAGTACTTAGCTGTGACTCCTTGAACACAAACTCATCTGTGTACAATAAACTTCCGTCTGGTGTACAATAGGGCTAATATTGTGGAGTAGATAACGAGTTCATGTGCCAAAAAGCCTGGGTGCACATATAGGAAGCACATGTAGTCAGCTACTATAATCACACCACACTTACCAAAACTATAATAATGATCATTACTACCACGTGAATGGTTCTTCAGTCTCTCTCCACGGGGGCCTCTCACCCCAAGCTCCTGAAGAGCAGCTTCTCAGCCTCATTCTGTCCACAACTGAACTCGGCTTCTCTCTCTGGGCAGATCCGCCTCTCGTGTCCCCTGCCTGATGCCAACCACGCACAAACAGCATTCCTTGGCCCTTAACCTCATCCATCACTGAGTCCTCACATGTCTCTGAACCACTCTTTCCTTCCCCTACTCCGACCACCATCCTTTATTCCTCCTTCAAGTCTAAGCTGGGGGGTGGCTTCTCCTGGAAAGCTGCCTGTGACTTCCAGTCCTTGGCTACATCTATGTTCCTGGAAATCCTGCCCCAACCCTCCATGGACACCCCCTCTCATGAGGCTCATCATGTTTTGTGGCACTTGTTATGGCTACTCAAATCTAGGAGAGCAACAGAAGTCAAGTCGATCTGCCCCACACCTAACCGAGGGCTTGCGTGTATGACGTGGGCCCCACAAATATTGGGTCAATGAGTAAGGAATACATACAACTCTCAGGGTTCAGCAACTACATCAGAGCTCAGTGGAGTTCCAAAAGGATTAGGACAAGGCAGGTTAATTGGCAGGACTGATTTGGAAACCTGAGTTCTAGCCAAGCCTGATCCCATGGTTTGCTACATGTAGGAAATGGACACAACTGCTTCATCTGTTAGCACCACATGGAGGTGGTGGGCATATGCAGGACACGTGATTTCTGGGCCAGAGGAATGATGGTTAACAACGTGGTTTCCTTGGGCTGCTGATGAAGTTACGAATGGACAGTCTTGGGGCTGGCAAGGAGGTAGAACCTATCAACATTTTAAATGTGTGTATCCTTGATTTGGAAACTCCATGTCTAGGAATATATATCCTAGAGCAAACAGTGAGAGGTACTAATTAAACAGGGTAATGACTGAGCATTGACTTAAAACATAAAAAGATGTCCATGACACATGAAGTTAAAAATACCAAATTATGGGGCCCGGTGCGGTGGCCTAGCGGCTAAAGCCCTTGCCTTGAACTCTCCAGGATTCCATATAGGCACCAGTTCTAATCCCAGCAGCCCCACTTCCCATCCAGCTCCCTGCTTGTGGCCTGGAAAAGCAGTCAAGGATGGCCCAAAGCCTAGGGATCCTGCACCCATGTGGCAGACCTGGAGGAAGACCCTGGCTCCTGGCTTCAGACTGGCTTAAGTCCAACCGTTGTGGCCCCTTGGGGAGTGAACCAGTGATTGGTGAATCTTTCTGTCTCTTCTCTCTATACATCTGACTTTGCAATAAAAATAAATAAATCTTTGAAAAATACCAAATTATATAATGATATTTGAAGTCTGAAATCCATTTTATAAATGTCAAAACAAATTCCAAATAAATAAATGATATTTGTGCAAACAGGCTTCCCCTGCCCTTAAAGCTGAAAGGCTACACACCAAACTCTCTACAGCGGTTACCTCCGGGGAGTGGGATAGGGAGAAAAGTGAGGGGAATTTTTACTTTATGTAAAGTTTTATATTGTTTACAGCTTTTACTGTTTTACTTTTGTAACATAATAATAATATAATAATAATAATAAAGCAATAAAACATTTAAAAGCCTTCCCAAAAGACTGCCCCACAGATCATCTCTCAGGCTGTTCTAAGAAAGGTGGGATCAGACTCTGAGTGGCCACCAGGTGGCACAGGGTGGAGGTACTGAGTGAGCATCAGCAGGTGGCACAGGGCAGAAGCACTCTTGTTCTGTGTGGTAATATGGCAAGAAGAGACATCTGGGAGGGTCAAGGGACCAATCTCCCACGACAGAGGCTCAGGGTGAGGTGAGAGTGTACTTCTGCAGAAGGACAGGAAGTTTTTAGAGAAGTCCAGAAAGGAGAGGAACGACTTGCCACTTCCACGGCAGCAGACATCCTCGGTGAGGGCTCAATTAGAGGAACACCAGGCCACAGGCTAACGGCCCTGGAAGGTGCCAGGGAAACGACCCCTCCTTGATTCAGCCTTGGTGCGGGCTCGTCTCTCACCCCCACACTCGCTCGCTAAACTACTGGCTCAAAAACTGTGTGAAAATCAAACTTGGCTAAACCAAAGCCCAAAAGAGCACTAGAAAGGTTATTTAGTATTACTACTTTACGTAGGGGTTGCTTGTCCCCTAAAATTACTGAAAATAAATCTATTTTAGAGTTATCACAGAAATGAAGAAAACATGGACAATCTCCCTTTATAATCCCAGAGTAAGAAAAACTTTCTCCAAGTAGGCCTCAAAATCCAGAACCCATAAAAGTAACTGATTAATTTAACAGCTTTTATGTGAAAGTAAAAGGTCTCCGGGGCAGGAGTTTGACACAGCAGCTGAGACACCATCAGGGGTGCCAGCTCCACTCTTGATTCTGGAAGGCAGCAGGTGACGGCTCCAGTCATTGGATGCCTGCCACCCATGTGGGAGATCTAGATTGAGGAGATCTCAATCGGGTTGCAAGTAATTAAACAGTTAATTAGCAGTTAATTGCCTTCCAAAATACACTGACTGGTAAGTAGATAGGAAGAAGAATGGATTTTATGGCCAAAAAAATACCACAGGCAAAATCAGAAGATAAATGACAAACTTTACAGTGGCCAAATCTGGCTGCCTAAATGTGGCTCACTGACCATTACAAGAGAAATGACCACGTAAGATAACTGGAAGAACGCAGCCCCTCCTTTGAGGGATTCTTGCGAAAACATTCAATCTGAAACTGGGGCCCAGTGTAATGGCTCAATTGACTAATCCTCCCCCTGCAAGTGACGGGATCCCATAGAGGCGCCAGTTTGTGTCCCAGCTGCTTCACTTCCCATCCAGTTCCCTGCTGTGGCCTGGTAAAACAGTGGACGATGGCCCAAAGCCCTGGGATCCTTCACCAGTGTGGGAAAAATGGAGGAAGCTTCTGGCTTCAGATTTGGCCTTAGACTGAGCTCCAGCCATATGGCCATTTGTACAGTAAACCAACAGATGGAAGATCTTTCTCTGTCTCTCCTCTCTATAAATCTCTTTCCAATAAAGAAAAAAAAATACAGAACCTCATTCAATAGATACGCGTCTGAAACTGATTAGATCTCTAGTTTGAACTACTAATGTCTAAGAAAGACAAGTGGTACAGAAACGTGTTAGTGACGCCCAGGAGGGTGTCTGCCAAGAATGCGGACGGTGAGGTGCTCCACGGGTAAATGATCCAACGTGTTCAACAACGGCCAAGCGGGAGTGGTGTGAGTTACGGGGTGCCAACGAGTCCTGTCAAGCAGAGACATTAGTGTGCTGTCCCTTTGAGCCAGCAGTCCCACATCAGGGACTTCTTTCTTACTGACATGTGTGCACAAGTTAGCAACAGCCAAAACCTGGAACCCGCCCGAGCATGCCCAGGCACTGACTGGCAGTCACAGTGGGAACACAGGTGGTCCTAGAAAGCAGGGCTACCTGTGCTGATACAGACCACCACCAGGATGTGTTTAATCAAAAAAGCAATATTTCAACAGATACATTGTGCCACTTCTTTTTATTAAAAAATGAATAATTTATATCTATATTTCATTGCTTACATAAAATTCACTGTAAGACAAAAAGAAAACCAATGAAACTGGCTACGGGGGGGGGGCGGCATTTGGCCTAGCAGTTCAGCTGCCGGTTGGAACATCTACAACCCACATTACAGCGCCTGGGTTCAAGGGCTAGCTCGGCTTCAGTTTTGGCTTCCTGCTAATGCACACCCTGGGGGACAGCCAATATTGGGCCAAGGAATTGGATTCCTGCTGCCCACTTGCGAACCTGGATTGAGTTCCTAGCTCCTGGCTTCTGCTCAGCCTAGCTCTGGCCTTTGCTGGCAGCTGTGCAGTAGATCAGTGGACAGAAGCTTTTATCTCTCAAATAGAAATTTACAAAAAAGGAAAACCAAAATAATAATCGAGTGTATGGGACTATGAAGGGATGAATGGGAAACTGATGGAAGGAGTTGAGAATGAGTGCAAACCCTCCCAAAATATACTATTTTATGTTGTTCCAGTTTATGGCTAGTATGGCCATTCATTCATTCATGGCTAGTATCACCTATTCAATATATACTTAAAAGAGGTGGAGCAATAAAAGAATCAGTACATTGGTTTAACTATTTGTGAAATAACCTGACAATTCAGACAGCTGGATTACAAGGATAAATGGGGGATGAGATGAATGGCAAAACACACACACACACACACACACACACACACACACACACACACACACACTGCTGCCATCAGTTTTAGGAGTTCTTGATGATTTATAGATATTCCTTGAGGTCCCGACATGAACCAGCACCTACCTCCATGAAAAAGATGTCTCCATTTGTGTCTGTGCCTGCGTGTACCACAAATGTCTGCTTCTTCATGTGCCGGCTCCCACTGGACCGGATGGAGAGGTCCCGCCCGTTCTGAGGAAGGAAGGGGTAATGCGCACAGTGGGCTCCCATTCAGAGCAGCCGCCTCAGCTGGCTGCCAACCTCCAGACAAGCACTTGCAGACCTGACTCGTCTCAGGACAGCTGCAACTCAAAAATTCCTGAAGACCCCAAACACCTTTTCTTTGTATGAGTTATATTTATAGATGTCACACTAGAAATTAAAACTAAAAAATATTTAAACATTCACTAACTGATTTAACAACTATAAATCATTTGTAAAAATGAATGACATGGGGCCCGGCGCGGTGGCGCAAGTGGTTAAAGGTCCTCGCCTTGCACGCCCGGGATCCCATATGGGCGCCGGTTCTAATCCCGGCAGCCCCGCTTCCCTTCCAGCTCCCTGCTTGTGGCCTGGGAAAGCAGTCGAGGACAGCCCAAAGCTTTGGGACCCTGCACCCGCGTGGGAGACCCGGAAGAGGCTCCTGGCTTCGGATCGGCATAGCATCGGCCCGTTGCGCTCACTTGGGGAGTGAATCATCGGACGGAAGATCTTCCTCTCTGTCTCTCCTCTCTGTATATCCGCCTTTCCAATGAAAAAATAATAAAAATAAATCTTTAAAAAAAAAAAAAAAATGAATGACATGCAGGGCCTGGCGCGGTGGCGCAAGTGGTTAAAGGTCCTCGCCTTGCACGCCCGGGATCCCATATGGGCGCCGGTTCTAATCCCGGCAGCCCCGCTTCCCTTCCAGCTCCCTGCCTGTGGCCCGGGAAGGCAGTCGAGGACGGCCCAAAGCTTTGGGAACCTGCACCCGTGTGGGAGACCCGGAAGAGGCTCCTGGCTTCGGATCGGCATAGTATCGGCCCGTTGCGTTCACTTGGGGAGTGAACCATCGGACGGAAGATCTTCCTCTCTGTCTCTCCTCTCTGTATATCCGCCTTTCCAATGAAAAAATAATAAAAATAAATCTTTAAAAACAAATGAATGACATGCAATTCAAGTACATTGTTTAAAAAAAAAACATTATTATTACTTTAAAAAATGTGGCACTAGGGCCCGGTGTGGTAGCCTAGTGGCTAAAGTCCTCGCTTTGCATGCGCTGGGATCCCATATGAGCACCGGTTCCAATCCCAGGGGCTCCATTTCCCATCCAGCTCCCTGTTTGTGGCCTGGGAAAGCAGTGGAGGATGGTCCAAAGCCTTGGGACTCTGCATCCACATGGGAGACGCAGAGGAGGCTCCAGACTCCTGGCTTCAGACTGGCTCAGCTCTGGCTGCTGCACCTACTTTGGGAGTGAGTTGGCAGGTGGAGGATCTTCCTCTCTGTCCCCTCTCCTCTCTGTATATCTGTCTTTCCAGTAAAAATAAAATACATCTTTTTTTTTTAATGTGACACTGCTTTCACATTTTATAAAATATATATATATATATATATATAAACACATTCCCCTCTCTGCTTCTGCAGCGATCTATTGCTTTGGTTGACGCAGATGAGGAAAATCTGACCTCATAGTCCCTGACTTGAGAAAGGGAAGGACATCTGAACGGACATACTCGTCTTCGGCACTGTGCAGAACTTAGCAACAATCCGTTTGCTGGACTCAGTGGCAATGAATGCCTTACACTATTATGTTAACTGCATCTGTGTGCCTTAAGCTTCTGAGGGCACCTTTTAGCCACACTTAGATGTGTAAATCACACACTGGGTGTGAGAAGTACTAGTTTCCTGGATATTACAGCTCTTCCAAATGCTGACATGTTTTATTATACTGTATATTTAAAAACCTCACCCATTGTGCTCACTTAGGTGGCACATATACTAAAACTGGGATGATACAGAGAAAATTAACATGGCCCCTGTGCAAGGATGACACACAAATTCGTGCAGTGTTCCATATTTAAAAAAAATTTTTTTTAAATCACATTCATGAATGTAACTACCTATCTCCTTAGAAAAGCCTTACAATGTTGGAAAGCTTCAAGTATTCCAAAACTTAAGAACTTGAATTCTACCATGGGCAATAAATACTTATCAGTTGTTTTCTTTGAAACGACTCAATTTATTAGCTTTAGAGAAAACGTCAGCCAGATACTCAACTCTGAATAACCACAGTTTGCTAGCCCTCCTTCTGAGTAAAAACGCTGTCCCCTTGCTCATCTCGGAACTCAAACTGTTGCAAGCTGCTTTCCTCCAAACCACCACCATCCTCGGTGGGCAGCAGAAATGCTTTCTGTACACGTTTCACTCTGTCCCCAGAACATCGGAGATGTGTGACGGTCAGCGGGAGCTAATGAGAGCAGAGGGACTCGCTGCTTCATCCAGACACTGGCTCTTTCAGAACTGAGTGCGTCAAGTCAGGACTGAGACAGCTCCCGGCACATCTGCCAGGGGAGAATTCTACCACTGAACCACCAATGCTCTGGCACATTTGGGGTCCTGCCCTTGTCTGTGCTGAGGTGCCAGCCGTCTCACCCACCATCACCACCACTGCTTTTGTAGTATCAGTGCAAACATCAGCTGGGGAGAAAGGCACAGAGCACACTAGTATTATATGATGAAAACGCTGTTCACAAACATTGTACTGCAACCGCTGCACCAGGAGGATTCTACCCTAAAAAGGGGCTGTGAGCCTCATCCAAGCATCACAGACCACTACCCCATTTCCAAGCAGGGAGCAAAGTGGACCATACAGTGACAAAACCGAGTGATACTCACCAGGCTAGCCAGCTGATCCAGCACCTCGTTGATCTGCTGGCTGTACACAAGCCCAATGTGGGACTTCCCCATCAAGCGCCTCACCTTCTTCCGGATGTCATTTTTATTCACCTGAAAAATCCAAACAAGAGTCTTAGTAAGAGATCTGTCCCTCTCATGACCAAGATGAAGGGTCGACAAGCGTATGGCTAGGCATCCTCCCATCTGGGTGAAACAATTTTCTGACAGAGCACACCGCTGCACATGGGGTGGCACTTTGAACTGCGCACCCTACCAGGGTGCTGGGGTGAATCCTGGCTTGAGCTCTGCTTGGCTCCTGCAGAACGTGGTTCTCCAAGCCGCTCTGCACAGGCGCATTTCCTCTTTATGTCCAACCAACACTGAAATATTGGTTCCTAAAAGCCTCAGTGTAATTCAGAAACTGTGACGCACAGGGGTGCTGGGACTCGGCTGTGGGCAGAAACCCTCCAAAGGTTAAGGATCATTGTCCTTTCTCAGCCCCTGCAATGCACCAGAGCAATGAACATTCCACAGAGAATGGATCCAATCCAGGGGCCTGACCTGGAGGGTGTGCTGTGCATCTGCTCAACGCACCCCTTCCACATCCGGGCAGGCTGGGAGAGCAGGAGCAGAACCCCAAGTTCACTGACAACCTTAGGTCTCCCCTTTCCACTGCAGCATTTGTTGAGTTGGCAACATTATTTCTTTTGCAACTATGGGAACCAAGCACAACCAACTCAAACTAGAACCTACTATTATTTTGTTAATGGGCAGCTCTTTCTGCAGCCAGAGAAAATTCTGTATGATGCAGGGCTAATACTGAAGTTTGAACTCTGACCTTGATTCCCAGGATTTTAGAAATGACTACCACACACAAAATATCTGTGGGGAGCTCTACCGGAATCCTAAACTACTTAGCAGGAGGAGCCCAAGGCAGCATTCAAAGTAGACACAGGAGGAGGAGAGTGGACTCAGCAGCTGGGTGACAGTGCCCTCAGCACACAGCTTTGGCTCACATGGGAGCTGCGGGGGAGCTCAGTCAGGCCGAGCCCTGGGAAGCTGCTTGCACAGGACTTAGGAGACAAGCAGCAAGTGCCACCTTTCCAGCATCAGGAGCACGAGACCTAAGCAAAGCTGTCACTACCTTCATTAGCAGCATGTAGGAGATGAGGTTATGCAGAAGGGTGGCCAGCAAGCGATCTTCGTCATCCTCCAAACGCTTCCGGTCATGCTCTCCCAGGGACAGGTACCTAAGCGGAAGACCAGACCCAGGTCATCCCTCAGCTTGGAGATGGCAGAATGGAGCAAAGGTGGAACATTCCCGAGGGTTGCCTGAGAGCCATACCTGTCAATCATTTCTTGGGGACCCTGGTCCATACCCATCCCTTCTCTCTCCAACATCACAGCATCTAAGAATGCATCTTCCCAGAACTGCATTTGGTCCCATAAAGTAGAACGCTCTTTGCCTACAGATAGGATAAAATGTTTGCTAAGGGTATTTGTTCAGCATTTAAAGACTACAACTGACAAATAATAAAAATGAAGAAAGAGTAAATACCAGATGGGAGTTGTTACCAATTTCAGAGTAAGAGGAAAACACAAAACTCTGTACCCCAGACCTCACAGTCCAGCCCCACACGCCTTCACGCGAGCCCCAGGCCCTCCCAAAGCGGAGGGACAAACACAGCACGCAAAGAAAGGTGGTTACTTATAGAAAAGGTCTCCATAGCAGCGTCCTCTAACTGGTCCCACATTGATCCTTTGTCCCTTCCTGCCAATTTGTGAGCAAGAGGAAAGATAGGAAGACAGAAAGACGGACACTGATGGTTAATGCCAACACCAAAACCCCAGCTTGTCCTTCCCCGACTGTGCGGCTCAGACCCAGTTATGTCGCTTGCTTCAGACACCAGCCCACCAGCTGGTGTCAGCCGTGGCATTAGCAAAAACCCAAGTGTTTGGCTTCCTGGTGTGGTGCCACCCTCTCCCCGGACAGCTGGGTTTCCGCACTGTGCAAGGGGCCTCCCCAGGCTGCTTCTCACCTAGGAGTCCCTCATAGAGGTACACGCGTTGGCTGACGTCTTCAGTACAGCGAATTGGGCTGCCCATTGGTTTCTCCTTCACCTTCGGCTTCAGGCTGTGGGATTTCCCCTAGAGAGAACAGGTGATCGGCCGGCTGTCCCGCACAGGTGCCGAGTGAACTGAGCCTTAGGGGGAGGCCCACACAATCAGGCGCCAAGTGCAGTGACACACTCTGATCCCCCTACTTCTGCTGCTACTCTGTGGGACTCTAGGATTCCAGCCAAGCCCGTCTGATAACTCTGATTTCTATCACTGCTTCCTACGTCATATTTTTTAATTCAAAGATATTCTCTTAAGAAAAAAAATTGGGCAGGGCGGGGGGTGTTGGTATTGTAGTACAGCAGGTTACACCACCACCTACAGCACACAGATGTGTCAGTTTGAGTCACAGCTGCTTCACATCTTCTCCTTTTTTTTTAAGACTTATTTACTTTTATTGGAAAGGCAGATTACAGAGAGGAGGAGAGACACAGAGAGAAAGATCTTCCATCTGTTGGTTCACTCCACAAACAGCCACAACAGCCAGAGAAAAAGTGATCTGAAGCCAGGAACTAGGAAGCATCTCCAGGTCTCCCACGCGGGTGCAGGGTCCCAAGACTTTGGGCCGTCCTCAACTGCTTTCCCAGGCCACAAGCAGGGAGCTGGATGGGAAGTGATGCAGCTGGCACACAGACTGGCGCCCCTAGAGGATGCTAGGACTTGTTGGTGCAGGATTACCCTGTTAAGCCATCATGCTGGTTCTTTTTTTTTTTTTTTTTTTTAATGTGAAAGGTAGAGTTACAGAGAGGGAGAGACAGAAAGAAAGGGGGAGAGATTTTTCCATTTATTGGTTCATCTCCCAAATAGTCCCAATAGCCAGAATTGACCTGGTCTGAAACCAGGAACCATGAGTTTCCTCTGGGTCTCCCACGTGGGTACAAGGGCCCAAAGACTTTGGCCATCCTCTGCTACTTTTCCAGGTACATCAGTAGAGTGAAGGGCTAGAAGGAGAGCAGTCAAGACTTGAACTGATGTTCACATGTAATGCTCGTGCGGCAGGCAGAGTTAGCCTGCCAGGCCATGGCACTGGCCCCAGTTGCTTCACTTATTTTTATTTTTAAGATTTTTCAAATTTTTATTTAAAGGCAGATTTTAAAAAGAAAAAAGGAAACACAGAACGAGAGAATTTCCATCTGCTGGTTCACTGAAGTAATCTGAAGCCAGGAGCCAGGAGCTTCTTCCAGGTCTCCCACGCATGCACAGGGGCCCAAGACTTGTGCGCCATCTTCTGCTGCCTTTCCAGGCTATAAGCAGAGAGCTGGATCAGAAGTGGATCAGCTGGGCCCGACGGCATGGTCTAGCGGCTAAAGACCTCACCTTGAATGCCCCGGGATCCCATATGGGCGCCGGTTCTAATCCGGGCAGCTCCACTTCCCATCCAGCTCCCTGCTTGTAGCTTGGGAAAGCAGTTGAGGATGGCCCAAAATTTTGGGACCCTGCACCCGTGTGGGAGACCTGGAAGAGGTTCCTGGATCCTGGCTTCGGATCAGCATAGCACTGGCCGTTGCACTCACTTGGGGAGTGAATTATCAGATAGAAGATCTTCCTCTCTGTCTCTCCTCCTCTCTGTATATCTGACTTTGCAATAAATAAAAAAATCTTTAAAAAAAAGAAGAAGTAGTGGATCAGCCATGACACAAACTGATGCCCATAGCGGATGCTGGTGCTAGCAGGTGGAGGATTAGCTTGCTTTGCTCCCACACTGGCCCCTGTTTCACTTCAGATTCAGCTCCCCTGCCAATGCACCTGGGGAAGCAGCAGAGGATGGTCCAAGTACTTGGCTCCCTGCACCCAGGAAACCTAGATGCATAAAGCTCCTGGCTTTAACTTGGGCAAGCCCCAGCTATTCGCTACTCATAACAGGAATGAACCATCAGATGGAAGATTAATTTTTTTCTCTCTCTCCCCTGTTTCCCACCCCTATAACTTTACCTTTCATGTAAATAATAAATCTTTTTTTTGGAAGTCAGATATACAAAGAGAAGGAGGAGAGAGAGAAGATCTTCCGTCCAATCATTCACTCCCCAAGCGGCAGTCATGGTTGGAGCTGAGCCAATCCGAAGCCAGGAGCCTCTTCCGGGTCTCCCATGCGGGTGCAGGGTCCCAAAGCTTTGGACCGTCCTCTACCACTTTCCCAGGCCACAAACAGAGAACTGGATGGGAAGTGAGAACTGGTGCTCATATGGTATCTCAGCATGTGCAAGGTGAGGAATTTAGACATTAGGTTACTGTGCCAGACCCCGTAAATAATAAATCTTTTTTAAAAATTCAGGCTAGTTCTCTGGTATCAGCATGCTATAGTAGAAAAAAATACAGGGTTTAAAGTCAATATGACTAAGTTTCAAATCCTTGACTCTTATTAGCTATGTGACTTTAGGATAAATCTTAGCTTCTCTGAACTTCATTTTCCTCCCCTCTAAAATGAAGGTTAATGTTTTTAACTCATAGGATTATTATAATAATTAAGTTTGAAAATGCATAAGGGCCCAGCCCAGTAGCCTAGTGGTTAAAGTCCTTGCCTTGCATGCACCAGGATCCTATATGGCTATCGGTTCATAACCCAGCTCCTCTACTTCCCTTCCAGCTCTCTGCTTGTGACCTGGGAAAGCAGTGGAGGACGGTCCAAAGCCTTGGGACCTTGCACCCACATGGGAGACCCAGAAGAAGCTCCTGGTTCCTGGCTTTGGACTAGCTCAGCTCTGGCTGCTGCAGCCACTTGGGAAGTTGAAACAGCAGATGAAAAATCTTTCTGTCTCTCCTCCTCTCTGTAAATCTGACTTTCCAATAAAAAATAAATAAAATATTTCTTGATAAGAGAAAATGCATATACATAAAGCATTTAACAGTACCTAGTGCTGCTTGACAATGTTAATTTCCTCTCTTCAATCATCTCTTGTTCCCTTGAGATATACCACTGTCTTCCACTTCTGTGATAATAAGCTTTATACTCATTATAGAAAAAAAAAAAAGATTTTCAACAAGGTAAGAAGCTGGTAAAATCATGCCTCTTCATAATACATGGAATAGCAGAAGCAGAGAAGGTTAAGCAACACCTAATTAGTGTAATGTCCAATGGATTGTATGACCCAATAGATAATATTATATATATAGCTAAGCCAGCCTTCTTGAGCCAAAACAATTTAGGTAACCTCTCTCAGCAACTCAACTGCACAAAGAATGCTTGTCCATCAGCATAAGACAAGTAAGTGTTTTTCCCAGGAAGGTAACAAGAGGGGTGGTTTGAGGCTGAACCGTTCTTCGCCAGACCTACATGCATTAAATACGTCTCCAAATGCAGGATGGAAGTACAGTAGAGGGATTCTAAACGTCTAAACAGCAAGTGAGAGAGAGCAGCGAGGCCATCGGAGCAGGCCTGGTGACGCCAAGGCAGCTCCCAACCTTCACGCTGTGAGGGTACTGGCTCCCTTAGGGACACACAAACCAAAGACTGGAACGGGAGTGCTCACCAGGAACACCAAATGGCTCTCACTTACACTGATCTGTCTTTCCCACAGACCCCAGACAAGCACCTCTTAGTGAGCAGTCTTCGTCTTTGTCTAATAGTACAAACTGGCAGTGGCTGAGCATTGAGCACTGCAGGAGCAGGCACACGCCCTGCAAGGCAGGGACTGAAAGAACTCACTTCATTCCAGCTGATGGAGCGCTTATGGGGTGATGCAGGATGAGAATGTTTTCTTCTAAAGCTTTTTGCCCCTCACCTCTCAGAAGACACACACTGTCTGCTGGATTGTAAGCTCCCTGAGAATGGAAATCACGCCTTAGGCACCTGTTTCTCAAGTGCAGAATCTGGAACTTCTCGTAAATCACTAATAAATGAAAACTTCCAACACCTGTTAGAAGTACACTGAATTAATATTTTCAAGTTCTATGCAAATAGAGCTCTGACCAGAATAAAACTGAACTAGTCCATGCAAACACATAGACTGATATCAATGAAAGCTTTAATTAATTGTTCTAAGAGGCACAATTGTACCTCTTTGATCATTTTAAACACAAGGGCTACAACCACATCACATTCACAGCTCTTACTAAACAGGGCAGGAACCTGACTCACCAAAGATTCAAGCCAGCGTCTTAGCCCACTACACAGCAGAATAGCCTAACGGCTAAAGTCCTAAGCTTGCACATGCTGGGATCCCATATGGATGCTGGTTCTAATCCCAGCAGCCCCGCTTCCCATCCGGCTCCCTGCTTGTGGCCTGGGAAAGCAGTTGAGGACAACCCAATGCTTTGGGACCCTGCACCCGCAAAGGAGACCCGGAAGAAGCTCCTGGCTCCTGGCTTTGGATCAGCTCAGTTCTGGCCATTGTGGCCCCTTGGGGAGTGAACCAGTGGATGGAAGATCTTCCTCTCTGACTTTCTTCCTCTCTATATATCTGACTTTCTGATAGAAATAAATAAATCTTTACAAAAAAAAAAAGAAAAAGAAAAAAAGAAAAGAAACATTTTCCTTAAAGCTAAGTACTTGCAGATTGCTGTTCCTTGCTTCATCTTTTCCTTCTTATTATCACTCTCTTTTTAAAAAGGCTTGTTTTTTATGGGCCTGGCAGCATGGCCTAGCGGCTAAAGTCCTCACCTTGAATGTGCCAGGATCCCATATGGGTGCCAGTTCTAATTCTGGCAGCTCCACTTCCCATCCAGCTCCCTGCTTGTGGCCTGGAAAAGCAGTAGAGGACGGCCCAAAGTTTTGGGACCCTGCACTCACGTGGGAGACCCGGAAGAGGTTCCTGGATCCTGGCTTCAGATCGGCATAGCATCGGCCGTTGCGCTCACTTGGGGAGTGAATCATCGGACAGAAGATCTTCTTGTGTCTCTCTCCTCCTCTCTGTATATCTGACTTTCCAATAAATAAATAAATCTTAAAAAAAAAAAAGGCTTGTTTTTATGTAAAAGGCAGAGTTACAGAGAGGAGAGATTGAGATAGTGATCTTTCATTAGCTGATTCACTCTCCAAATGACTGGAGCTGAGCTGATCAGCAGCCAAGAGCCTGGAGACGCCTCTGGGTCTCCCACACAAGTGCAGGGGCCTGTGGATGTCAACTGTCCTCTGCTATTTTCCCAGGCCATAATCAGTGAGCTGGATCGAAAGTGGAACAGCCAAAGACTCAAACTGTCACCCAAAGGGGAAAGCTTAGCCTACTATGTCACAGCACCGGTCCCTTCTTAGTATTTTTTAAATTTTTTTCCATTAACCCACTTCTTTCCCTTATTAAATAAATAGGTTTTTTTGTTGGTGGTGGTGGTTTTTTGTTTTGTTTTTTTGCTAAGAAACAAAGCTTACAACTCCTCTGTCAGGACTCAGTCCCTGCAGGTGAGTGCAAAAACCAAGACTGGGAGCAGCCTAGACCAGACCAGGTTATAGTACCAGTCAGCATATGTTTGGGTCAGGTCAGGGGGTGAGCCAAGCTGGGTCAATTCATAGCACCCACCAGCATACGGCAGAACCAGGACAGGGTGCAGGAAAAGCCAAATTGGGCTGCAACACCAGCTAGTCCACATTAGGGCTGAGACTGGGGGCTGAGGCAGGCCATGCCAGACTGGACCACAACACCCACCAGCACACAGTAGGGTGAGCCTGGGGGGGCGGGGCAGAAGATGCTCCCCTGCTGGGCCATTGCTCCTGCTGGTGAACATGAGGACTAGGACGGCGGGGGGGGGGGGGGGGCAGACCAGACTAGGCGGGGCTACAACACCCGTCGGCCTGCATGTGAGCTGGGTTAGGAGGAGAGCCAGGCTGGGCTAAGTGATGGCATGCACTGGTGTATGCGTGAACCAGAGTAAGCACAGGCTGGTCAGACTTTGTCGCAGCATCAGCTGGCAAGTGCTGGGAATGGGGACAAGTCCTGCCAAGCCACACAGCAGAACGACCTGGAAAAGTGCAAGATCCAGGGCTGGGAGTGGGTCTAGTAGGGAAACTGTAGGCATCTCTTTGATGGGCTGCAGATCTCACCCACCAGTGAGCATGAGAACCAGAGCTGGGGATGGACCTATTTAGACAGGTGGTAGCACCCACTAGCATAAGTGTAGGCTGGAGAGTGAAGTCAGCTGGGCTGAGCTAGGCTGCAGCACCCATTGGTGCGTACAAAAGCTGAATGGGATGTGTGACAGACCAGACTAGTTTGTTGCACATACCAGCATGTGCAGGAATCATGGCCAGGGGCAGACCTGGTAAGGCGTATTGGGTCCCTCCAACTGGGCTATACTTCCCGCTGCTGTGTATGAAGGTCAGGTGTGTGGTGGACAGAGTTAGGTTGGACCCTATCATCCACTGATTTGCATAAGAGATGGGGCTGGAGACAGAACTGACCCAACAACTGTGACTACCAGTTAGCGTGTAGGCTGATGTGGGAGATGGACTGAGCTGGACCTCACACTGGCTGGCAAACACAAGAGTCAGGTCTGGGGTCACCTCATATGAGGTTTCTTCGGGGAACCCCCCAACTGGACCCCTGGATTTTCCACTGGGAAAATCACAGGATCTGTGGTCAGCCCATGGAGTGCATGTGTCAGAACTGAGCCTCCTGAGTTGCTGAAGACAGTGCGGCAGATGGCATGCGCAGATGCACCTGGGGGATACTGCAGTTCATTGGGGCCTCCAGAGGAGATCTAGTACCACAGAAGAGGATGGAGGACAAAACAAATTGAACAACTCTCCATGCCAAGCATTGATAGCAAGTATGTGGGTGAGTGGAGACTCAAGGGTGGACTATGTCAGCCAATGGACCTTGGAAGGATTTCCTCATCCTTGGAGCAACAAAATCAACAGCATTTCAGAACTATCAAAATCACCATAGCAGTACTCTCGGAGCTTGATCCACATGGGGACTCCGGGATGACATCAGGTAGCCGCCCCCCACCCCCGCATACTGATGTGTTTGGGAGGCTGGGTGCAACCTCTCCCCTTTTTTTCTCCACTGGAAAAAAATGGTCCCATATACCTTCTCCTATTCTTTGACCCTTCCCACCCTAATCAGTGGTCCACATGGACATACACCCTCCTCAACTATGTAATCATCATCAAAAATAAAATTCAAAAAATATATATAATATAAAAAAGGCAAGCTTACAAAGATGGCGCTTGTGGCAGAGTTGGTCTCAATTTCACTGTCAGACAAAGTTCCCCGAGAGCTTGCCAAGTGGATGCTGCCCTCGCCGCCTGGGCCGTCACCTGCATTGCTGCTCAGATCACTGTCGGCTCCCAGAGTCTCCCCAGAGCTATTACTCACCTGGAAAAGAACAAACATGTGAGGGCTGTTGTCCAGGGAAGAACCCCAGAAATGCCAATCTGTTACAGGCCTCTGCTGCCATAAAAAAGCATCATCTTGAGCTTGGCACAATAGTTTAGTGGCTAAATCCTCGCCTTGCATGTGCTAGGATCCCATATGGGTGCTTGTTCATATCCTGTCTGTCCCACTTCCTATCCAGCTCCCTGCTTGTGGCCTGGGAAAGCAGTTGAGGATGGGCCAAAGCCTCGGGACCCTGCACCCTTAGGAAACCTGGAAGAAGTTTCTGGCAACTGGCTTTGGATCAGCTCAGCTCCGGCCATTGTGGCTACTTGGGGTGTGAACCAGCAGATGGAAAATCTTTCTGTCTGTCTCTCCTTCTCTCTGTAAATTTGCCTTTCCAATAAAAATAAATAAATCTTAAAAAAAAAATAGGGCTCAGCATAGTAGTCTAGTGGCTAAATTTCTCGCCAAGCAAGTGCCAGGATTCCATTTGGGTGCCAGTTTGTGTCCCAGCTGCCCCACTTCCCATCCAGCTCCTTGCTTGTGGCCTGGGAAAGGAGTAGAGGATGGCTCAAAGCCTTGGGACCCTGCAATCACTTGGGAGGCCTGGAAGAAGCTCCTGGCTTTGGATCAGCTTAGATGCTACAGCCGTTGGGACCACTTGAGAAGCGAACCAGCAGACAGAAGATCTTTCTCTGTCTCTCCTCTCTGAAAATCTGCCTTTCCAATAAAAATAAATAGATCTTCAAAAACAAACAAACAAAAACCCAAAAAAGCAAAGCACTGCCTTTGAGTGGTGTGCCAGACAGCCTCTCAAAGCCCCTCCATCAGTGGATGCAGAGAAGCCCTGGGTGAGACCCTGCAGACACACGCCCACTACAGGTGCATGTCTCCATCATGACAGCCATGTTGACCAGAGACTCTGAAAGAACCTCCAGTCAGAAAGAGTGCCCTTCTCCAGAAGGGGACTCCACACCCTGCCCGCCAGGATGCCAGTGTGGTGTTCCCCTACCACGGTGCTAACTTCAGAATCCTGGCTGGAGCTGCGGATCATAACAGCAGGACTCACACCGACCACTGAGTCTTGATCCATCCTCTGAAACGAGACATGGGAACAGGCCCATCAGGGGAGGCGCCCCATCTTGTCTCAATCTCTCTCAGAAACACATGACCTTCTCCTCTGACCCTGTCCCCATCCTTAGGTTGTCATCCCTATGGAAGTCAGGTAAAACAGGTATGAGTAACAAACAAGACAACAGAAAGTAATATACATTCAGGAAACATGATAACTGTCAGAAATACATAAAAGACTAAGGAAATAGAATAAGCCCTAAAACTACCACCCACTTAACCAATGCTTTTCAGTATATTCCTCCTTAGTCTTTCCTTAAAACATTTAAAAAATAAAACTGGAATCATACCATACTTGCAGCTTTATAAACATTTCCTCATGTCATTAATCTTTAACTATATAATCTTTAATGGAATTTAATACTACATTAGGTGGGTCGATTGTATTTATTTCATCACTTCCTTCTTATAGGTATTGATGTTGCTTTGAGGCTGTTTTAACTTAAAGAAGTTTTCTGAGAGAGCGAATTTGAGCCTTATGATTCTCAACAAGACTGCCACAAACCTGGGAACCAGAGGTCAGGCTCACGCCACTGTCCGCACTGATCTGGGACTTCTTCTCCTCTGTCTCACCAAGGTCAAAGACGGGTTTGATTACTTCTGGTCCTGAGTAGGGGAAGATTTCTGTTACTCAGCACACAGAGCAAGGGGGCAGGCTGGTGAAGGGAAGGAATGGCAGCATGATCTGGCCTCAGATCTGCTCAGCACATCCCAACTACTTTTCCAGGGACTGTGCCCCCCACCCCTCCCGTGGGATCCACTGGAAGATGTCCCCAGATGCCTTGAGAACCAAGTAGGATGAATCAGGCCTGGTCTCAAGGGATTCTGCAGCCATCTTCTTGTCCTGAGAACAGTATGAGCCACTTGCCCTTAATTGAAAATCCCCACAGACAAATGTCTCCACCACAATCCATCATGCTCAGAGTCCAAGTGTCCCTGGGCCTAGGTCACTCACTGCTTCTGTGACATCTGAAGGAGCCAGGAAATGCCAGGTCCGGTGCACAAAGAGACACCTACTGTTTTAGTGGGCACTGCTTGCTCCCACCCAAAATCATCTGCCCCAGAGGTAAAAGCCAACCCTGGTGCCACCCCTCCAACCAACCCACAATGATATGGCAGAAGGACAGAATGACAGAAAGCAAGAGAGCGTGCCTAGGTAAGCCACCAGAGAACTGGGCAGCTACAGACTCAACACAGAGGGATGGCCACCATCTCTGCCAACTGTGCCCGCAGGCCTTCCAATGGGTTGGGGAAGGATCAGCCAATGAGGTCACTGAATGAGAACCAACTTCTAAGGGGTTTGCCTCTGTGACACCCTGGACATTCACAGCCTGCGTGCTAGAAGGGAAGGGGCACGAAGCAGCCTACCAGCCACACGCCTGGGAGTCACACACCACCTGCCTGCTTTCAATCTGTTCACCATCCCTCAAGAGCAAATTTGGAGTGGGGTTGACAAAGGGCACCTGCCCTGCCTGGGCCCGGGGAGTTGGCAGGTATGGGAGACTTAGAGACAGGAAAGGGCATTTGTTCCTTACTCTGTTTTTCCAAAGCTTTTTGCTTTTTCACTTCCTGGTGCTTGTTCCACAATTCTACCCCAGATGCAACGCAAGCAGGAGAGAAAGACACAGAGTCAGAGGCTGGTCAGACAGACGGAGTGGAAACCCCCCACCCCAGCTGCTTCAGGCTCAGACATGGAATCACCCACCAAGAGGCACAAAGACATCTTCATTGAGGGGAAGGAGGGGAAACCAAGAAATCCAGTACTTTCCCCAAAAACTTATGAACTAACAGTTCCAGACTTCTAACACTAAACCCCAACATGGCAGTGAAATCCTTGTAGATGAAGTGGGAAGGCTTGGGTGAGGCGTGTCCACTGTGGTCTGATGAAACGGATCCATCCCAAGCTGTGGCGCCTGAAACCTGGGATCTGTTTCAACTTCTACCACCTCAGGCACTCTCTGAGGAACCAGGGAATGGCAATTTTCACGGATTCCAATTCCAGATCAGAGAGAGGAGCATCTCAAGCAGCCGAAGGTTTTCAAAAGTGTGAGCACCAATCCTCCAAGTCACAGGACAGGAGAGGTCAACTAGCAGGCAGACTTCAGCAACCCTCCTGGTGCTGCCCCAAAACCAACTCCCCCTCACAACCAGTGCCTGCCCTACCAAGACTTAACAAGTCACCTGTGAAAACATGTGAGTAGAGTTAACCAAAGCCATTAAAAGGCCACGGGGAAGCAGATGGAATGCCAAGAACATCAATTCCCTGCCTGGAAGGAACCCCATAGTCTAGTTAGCATGATCTGCTTACTGCCCAGAGAAGGAGACAGACTCAGAGATGGAAGTGATTTGCCCAGGACTGTAGCTGGGGACTGTCCTAGCTGGGGACAGATACAGACCTAAAACTCAAGACCATCAGACTAGTAAGTTGGTACCTTTTCTAGAACATCCCATGAGGCAAGACAGTCAGGGCTCACTGGGAATACACTGAGAGAGTATTCTGCTGACTACCCAAGCATAGTTTCTCCATAAAGGACACTGGCTCCTAATTACTATCTCTGGGAACATAAAGCAACAGCAGTGACTGTGACAAAGGCATCAGCCGGAGACCTAGTGCCCAGGGCCCTAGCAGAAGAAAAAGGAAGATACAATCTGGGATTCTAGGGTTGAGCAGGTGGTGAGCCAAATGCAAGCGATACCCAGAGAGCTCCCTAAGACACCACCTTAAAGGACTTGGAGAAACACCACAGGGAAGCAAGCTTTCAGTCACGTCCAGGGAGGCAGTCTGAGAGAGCCGAGTCTGAGGTCCAGAACTGAGGGGAGCGGGGTTGGCAGACAGGCCCAGAGGAGCAAACTCCAGGGCAGTGCCACGGTAGATGGGGAAACCTGCTTCAGAAACGCAGACGACCACACCGTCACAGCCCAGAGATGCAGTTGTAAGCTTCCTCATGTCTTCTTAGGAGCTCACATAGCCTCTCTACTAGCAGGAAATAATCCAGATGCACAAACAGGGACCCAGAATCCAGCTCAGACTTCCTGCACGGAGCCTCGCCAGGTCCTTTAAACACAACTCCGGCTCTTCCTCGAGGATGTGGATCAGGGGTGGCCATGCAGAAAGCGTGAGGGAAAGAGAAGAAATGCTACTGGAAATGGGCACAGGCTTGTCTCCCTCTCAAGACAGCAAAGCATGGGGAAGAGAAAGGCGGGATTCTGGATGAATCGAGAGGGAGGAATACTTCAGAAGGCAGATCCCCACCCGCACACACCAAACACAGTGGCACGTACCAATAGAAGCGACAAAATTCTCTTCCTTTAAACTCCTGGTGTCTGGCTCCTTGGGACCTTTTCCTGTAGCACTTGGTGCCCGAGGTCCCAGCTGGGGAACTCTCAGCTGAGCCATAGCTTTTGCGTCCCCCCGCCCAGCCAGACCAGGGTCCTTGCCAGCTGGGGTAGTTACACTCTCTGTTGGACTTTTCTTCCGCTTGTCTGGTTCTGGGGAAAAGATTCAATACAGAAAAGTGGTCAAAAGAGGTAGTAAATGGCAACCAAGGAAAGGAACCGCACTGGGAGAAGGAGAAAGAACATAGAAGTGGGAGGAAAGAAAGCTAACACTCCACCTTTGATGACAGAAGAAACGCCCACAGATAAACATGCACCCGAGACTAAAATCTCAACGCCTACAGGAAGCATGGTGCTGGGGAACTTGCTGTGGGGACAAGCACGTTTTCTCTTTTGGAGATGACTGGGGGATGCCTGGCTGATGTGATCCCTACCTTTACTATAGTAGTGGGTCTGGGCTATCTCCAGAAGCCCAAAGATGCTGGCCATGCCACCCAGACCTGCGTGGGCATAGGACTGCTCCAGACTGAGGATTGTGCACTTGAGGAGGTCCAGCATTCCCTTATACACCTTCCGGCTGATCTCCTGCAATGATAACCCAGGCAAGGCAATGGCCAGACTGCCTTTTGAGTCCACCTCCCTCTGCCCAGTTGATCCCAATGCCTCAGCCCAGATACTGACCACATCTGGGATGACGTCCTGCCGGGCATCGTCCTCTGACTGCACGATGCGGTTCAGCTTGCTCAGGACGAAGACCCGCAGCTGCTCGCTCTCCAGCAGCCGGCGCACCTTCTTCATGTTGAGCCAGCCGACGCCCTGGCCATCGAGCACGCTATGTACCACCTCCTTCAGGAACTGCTGGTTCTCACTGCGGGGCCCACACACCACTTCTGTCACCATTAGCTCCTTGGCAGAGCCTCCCCTCTTGCACAGGCTAGATGCTTCCTTCCAGGCGCAGATACAAAGTCAAGTATGCAAATGCTCAAGATTAACACCTGCCTGTCCCCTCCAAATACCCTGGTCTGCCCGAGTCCCCAGCTCTGCTATCTCCCACTCCTCAACGCTGTGAACAATTACCGGTGCACTGGATTGCATCAGCATGGACACTGTTGGCAAGGACTGTTGTCATCTACCACCCAGAGGGTTTTTCGCCCATTCTTGAGCATCCCTAAAGCTTTGCACAGCAACCATGACCTCTAGCTGCCAACTTTTAGAACAGCACTGCTCTTCAGTACCTGGAATTGCTGGATCGACCCTGGGGTGATGGAGGCTCTCTCTTCACTGTGGGGCTGTGTTTAATGACAGAAGATTTCTGGTCCACTAAGGCCCTCCTGTTTCCTATGGTGGGAAAGAGACAAATGAGAGCCTTTGTCACTATCGTGGTCCAGCAACTCGTGTTAGCTGGCCATGATCCAGGCCCATTCCCCAGAAGGGCTGGGGGAGGGTGGCACTGGGGCGTCACGTGGAAGTAGAGACCAGCCATGGCAATGTGGAGGAGGTGGGAATGGAGACTCAGGCCACTCCACATGCACCAGCAGGACGCCCCATGAGCAAGCATGGGCGTCCCAGGGACAGGGCAAGGCAGGTCACGCAGGTGATGCTGCTTGCTGCCTGAGGAGGATGGCCCTCAGGCAGGCATGAAGATGCTAGGAAAAAAATAAAATAAAATAAAAACTAAAAACCCCAAAAGTTCATGCACAGCTCACAGGCAAGACCCACCTTCACCACTCCCGGGGCCGGCTTCAGTAACAATCTCCATTAGAGTATTTAGCCCAAATACTGGGACACAAAATACACAATTAGTAGGTGCACCACGAGACCACAACCCCTATATACCTGTCTGAGGATTTACACCAGCTCATCTGAGAACTCTCCCAAAGCTTGAACAGTGCATGTAACCTTGGGTCTTAGGCACTGCGGAGCTGGAAGCCAAGTGACCAGGAGACACCCAAGGCTTCAACAAAGACCATCCTTAGGACTGTGGCCTCTGCAACCACAGGCAGGGTGAGCGTACTCAACAGGCACATGCATGACGGAGGGATTGCTGATTTTCATGAAACATCTAGCACAGGGGTCCCGAGGGCCTGTGGGTATGTTTGGGGAAGAGCCCCTATTTTGCAGATGCTGTCATGGGAATTCGGGGGTAAGGTATCAAGATGAGAGGCAAGTGGGCGGGTTCAGTGCAGCAAATGAAATGAAGCATCAGCATGCAATGAAGGAGTTTCAATCATTCTTCTCTTAGGATATATCCAATCAGAGTCAGAGACACCACACCTCTCCATCCCCGATCTACCTAACCCCTGCACCAGCACTGGTGTGCTTCCTGTATGACGAGTTCTGATGCCCACTGGCCTATTTATCTTATGTTTCCATTCCTAACAAGGAACATTTCATAGACTCCTGATATTTTTAATCATCGGGAATGAGAGATAGGTCAAAGACCAGTATTTTATACTATACTTCCTACCATAATTAAGTATTTTGGCACAATATTCAGAAAAAGCAAACCAAAGTCAACATAAATTCAGAAGCCCCTCAAGGCATCAAGAAATCACAAAGAAATTCAAACAAGGTCTTAATTGCCCCTAGGAGCCAACAAATACTATCTGGCCCCCTCAGAATCTAAACAGACACCAAGCCACAGAAAGACAGAATCCTACCAGCACTGCCTACTCTCCCTAATCTCTATGTGCAGGCTGACTCCTGGGGATGGATTCTGTCATAAGTCACGCAATGAGAACCTGGTGGCTGACTGGGGGCAGCTGGAGACGCCTGTGTTCATCATGTCCCACCACTAAGGTCTCCCCAGAAGCAGTGGCAGCCACGTAGTTGTTATTACCCAAAAACATCCACCAGGACCTTCTCTGGCCACAAAGGTGGTTCCCACATGATGTGCAGGGAAAGCCTGAGAAGCCGCGTGATCAAACGACTCATCACACATCAGACTTCTGAGAAGCACCCACAGGCCCAAAGTACCTCCCAGAGAAGAAACCTGGTTTGGCAACAGGTAGGTTGTGGTTACCTTTCAGACTGGGGAAGGGTGTGGTCTTCTCTCGGGCACCTTTGGTGGGTAGAGTGAGGTTCGAGAGACTGAAGCTTGTACTGTGGTTCCGATACAGGCTGCCTATCCAAGGGAGGGGTGATAGGAGGGAGTTAGCAGGACAAACAATGAAAACCCCATGTTCCCGGGACTGTGCATGCTCTTGTTCCCCTCTGTTCTTTGCACACAGAATCCCCCATCAGTAGATCAGATAGTCCTCTGCTCTGCCTCAGAAAAAATCAAGTCTAACTCGAGGCAGGACTCTTTGAAACCCATTCACTTTCTTTGGGTAGCTTCAATGATTGCCATGTCTTTCATTTACTATGAACATAGCATGAAAACAGGTAGTTTATACACTTCCCGTATGAAGCTGACACTGTCCCTCCCTGGCTTCTGAAAAAAAAAAACAATCACACAATTATCCCTTCTGGTGACTGGAGACCTTACTCCATCCTCAATCTTTGACTGATACCTGCCACTCAAGGTCTGAAATACACTAAGCACAGAAACCAATCTCAGACAGACTTCAAAGCCTGTTGATGGAAAAAAAAAAATCTCTCAATGGCCAAAGAACATATCAGATATATATATATATATATACTCAATTTTAACCAGTACATTTCAATAAAGAGCGTGAGTATTTTGAATATAATGCTTATTTTTCAGTTGGTCAGTCAGCTGTCCTGCCTTAACAAATCTGAGATATCCAAACATAATGATAATGACTAATCTGACCCTGCCCTTTAAGAACCTCCCCTGAAAACATTTGGTATTACTTAAATGATAAAGAATCAGGCCTTGACCATGCCAACCCAGCCCTCCATCTGCAACTGGAAGCTGGATGAGCCTGACCATGGAGGAAACAGAATTAGGGAATGACAGCCCTGAAGGCCACTTACTGGCAAACGACACGATGCCCCCGAAGCCCTCGGTGCTGTTGTTGGAGACGGTGGAGTTGGGAGAGCTGGCACGGGAGTCAGATTCAGCATCGGAGTCACTGGCCAGCTTCAAGCTGTTGGGCCGCAGCAGCTTTTGAGCCCTTGAATGCACAGTGGCACCTGTGAGCCCCACACAGGGGTGCCTGATCTTGGGAGTGTGGGCCTTCACTACGCTGCCATCACCACGCCCTTCCACATAACTCCTCGCTCCCAGCCACCCTCCGGGAACGCAGGACCACAGGAACATTCAGACATCTCAGAATTTCTGACTAACCCTTGCCCGGGGTCCACTGTAGTGAGATCTTTCAGTCCCGCAACTAGAAGGGATTCCCCAGGCTCTCACTGATTGCCACTGACATGTTGGCTGAATTGGGGAGTGTAACTTTCTTTCCCTTGCTCATCATCGTATTCCTCAGGGTGAAACCCATATTGGGACTCAAAGAATGGATTGTCATAGGTTTGCCAGCACACTGACCCCTCTCCGGTTTCTGCCTGACGCCTGTCCACAGTCGGTTTGCCAATGCTGGGAGGCACGATAGGGAGAGGCTTGGAAACACCACCTGCTGCCTTAGCATCTGTCTCCGTAGAGTCAGCGGGTTCCTAAGGGACATATTAAATAAAAAGTGATCACCTGTTTTTCAGCAAGGATTGTTTGTATTCTCATTCTGGCAGGCCAGGCCAGATTTACTAGATTCTTGGCTAAAATAAACGTGTGGGAAAGTACCTACAGAATCCCCTATTGTCATTCCCCACAAGTTACATCCTAAACAATGCTATGATCTTCTGGGGTCAAAACTGTCTGTGAGCCTAAAACCCACACCCCAGGGGTCTATGGAGATGAGAAGATCGTAAACAAAAAGGCAAACTAATGGCTACTGTGTGGTTCTCCTAATGGACATAGGGCTATATTCCCACCAATGCTTCTTGCTCGCCCACCCCTCCATATCCTCACATACAGAGCTGGTTCCACGGACGATGGTGCTGGGGCTACTGCTGGCGGTGGTGCTGGAGCTGGAGCGCGCTGGGGGGATTTCATGAGAGTTCTCGCTGTCTGGGCCTGGCTCCTCTGCTTCCTTCTGGTTCTGCAACTCATCGATCTGGACCTCGCTGGCATCGCCCAGGGCTGCGTGCGTCAGAGGGTCTACATCTGGCAAAACCCAAGGGAGGCAGGTACAGACCACTCCATCCCCATCCAGGAACTCCAATCCCAGCCCAGGGATGGCCAATTATCTACCCAAACCCACTTACTGGGAGTATCACCGTTGATGTCACATTTCATCATTTCACTGACAAAGTCACCAAGGGAGGAGTAAGAAGAGCTTGAGTCATCATAATCCATGCTATCACTGCCACTGCAGAGTGAAGAACATAAAATATATACATACATACCCGGAAGGGGCAGGGGAAAACCTGCGATTAGCATTAGGACAAAACAAGAGGAACACTCTAAGTTCAAGGTTAAGGAGTAAGACAGAATAAAGATGCCAAGAAAAAGAATCAAATATAATCCGAGGCTGCAAAGACTGAAATTCTGCTAATAAAGGGCTAGTGAAAGGGGCCTGCTCGCCTGTCATCAGTAGGGTCGGAGTCAGAGTCGCGCTCAGGTGGCACGCTCAGTGCCTCGGCCAGCTGTGAGTTGCTGTCATAGACCCGGTAGTGGATGGGCTGCAGCTGGTGAGCATACCACTTTGGCTTGTCACCGATCAGGGCAGGGTCAAACATATCTGCCCAAAGCAGAGAAACAACAGAGTTAGCAATGAGCAATGCATCATATAAAGGCAGGAAGAAATTTATAGCTAAACAGAAGTGGAAGGGGATAGGGCAAAGATTAGCAAAGAAACACACAAAGGAGGACAAAGGCAAAGGGTGGGTGGACTTACTGTTGTGAATTCGCTGAAAGGCATAGTTGGTGGGGTTAAGGATCCATTCTCCAAAGTACTCCACGGCCTGAGTTCTAGCCAATTTCTCGGCAAAAGGAGTCTGTCGGGGACGTGAGGCTAGAAAGGAGCCGGTCTGAAAAGCTACCACTGGCCGAGGGAAGAGACGCAGGGTACGTGTGTGCAGCTGGAAGCCCTGCAGCACGTTGGCAGAGTTGAAGAAACGGACCATGGCCACTCTGGGGAAGAAGGTGGTGGTGAGGCAGCATAAGACCATGCCCCATAGAGCAAGGGTGTCCATGGTTCGAGGTTTCAGACCATTTGGTCAAGCCATCATATAACAGGTTTCCAAAGTCAAAAGGAACGGTGTTTTAAAAGAGTCACCAATCCCTCCCTTCTCCCATGAATGTGAGCAACCATTTCTCTTCTTTACCTTATACTTAAGTAGTAAACACACCCCCAGAGTCACATGCATTTTCTATATAAAGAAACTCTATAGCTCGGGGAAGTACTGTGTGTCCCAAGGTCACCGAGAGAGCAATTTACAACTCATAAGTAGAGAGCCTGCTCAGTCTCACCTGGTTGCCACATCTACAGAATCCACGTCATTGCCGTAAATGAGTGGGTTGAACTCGGTGGAAGGGGTGGACTGCAGGTCACTAGAAGGCCTTCCCAGGAGAAAGGGGATCTCCTGGCCCTCGTGGAATTTCTCCAGATTGAGGATGGGCTGGGTGTTAAGACTCATGCTGGCGAGGGCCTGTGGAGGAAGCACTCTCTCATTCAAGGCACACTGCTGGCTAGCCAACCAATCTCGACTGCTAGGAGATGCCTGCTTCAAAGTCTTCTATTCCATACTTGGTCCCTGATGAAAAAGTTCTGCAACCAAGAACTATGCTAATTTGTCAAAAAATGACCAACTTACTTTAGATCCTTCATCTTTAGAAAACAGTCTGAATTACATAGCAATTTTAGTATTTATTACAAACATTAAGGGCATTGCATGTCCACATAGACCTCTGATTAAGATGGAGAGGGTTGGGAAAGGGCGGAGAAAGGGAAAGGAAGGTGGGCAGGATAAATGTCTTTCTTTTCTCTCCTTTTTATTTTTTTGGGGGTAGGGATGGGCAGCAAATGCACTGCTCTTTGCTATTACACTACATCAGTGCCAGAGGACAAACATGGTCATTTGATATCACCTTAGAGACCCCCACTGGGTAAGCATGGTAGCCTAGTGGCTAAAGTCCTCATCTTGCATGAACCAGGATCCCATATGGACGCCGGTTCTAATCCTGGCTGCTTCACTTACCATCCAGCTCCCTACTTGTGGCCTGGGAAACAGTGGAAGATGGCCCAAAACCTAGGGACCCTGCACCCATGTAGGAGATCTGGAGGAAGATTCTGGCTCCTGGCTTCAGACTGGCTTAGGTCCAACTGCTGTGGCCACTTGGACAGTGAACCAGTGGATGGAAAATCTTGCTTTCCTCTGTAAATCTGCCTTTTCAATAAAAACAAATAAATCTTTGAAAAAGAATGTTCCAAAGGTGTTACTTAAGTGGTCCTGAGAGGTTGCTGGCTTTATTGCACCAGAGGTAAGAAATTCTAAGGGCTGTTGGCTGTCCACGTCTACCTCAGTGTGTCCACAGGCCTAGGTGCTTGCCATAAAGTTTGGCCTGCTGTGCTGTTCAACCCACTCTTTTCTCCATCATTTGAAGAGGTACTTAAAGTCTTCTGTTGGCTTAGATGAGCTGACTCTCTTGTCTTTCATGTACATCCAGACATGCTCTCTATTCTTGCATGGTAGTCAGCAACTGAGGTAGCCCAGGCCTGTAACATGTGCTCACATGTCTTTGTGAAGTTCCCTGAGGTCAGGGGTGGAGCATAATGGTCTAGCTGGGAGCCACCTAAGAAACCCCTCTGCAGAGGACTCAGACCTGGCTCACATATGTACCAGCTGCTGTGGAGCCAGGTCTGGCCTGCATCCTGCACCAAACAACAGATGAACCAGAAGGTTCATCTGCCTGGCCAGTGCTGCCCCCAGGACTGATTCTCATAAAAACTAGTGAGTGCTATAGCCTTAGCCCAGCCTAGTCCACTCCCAGGGCTAGCTCCCATCCATGCCAGCCCCAAAGAACCCTTACCAGGCCCATACCCAGCTCTGGTTTTTGCAGGCTAGCGGGTTCTGCAGCCCAGTCTGCCCCAGCCCACACCCAGCCTGGTTCTTGGGCATCCCTGTGGGTGTTCTAGCCTAACGTGGCCCTGCCCATCCCCAGTCACAGCTCTCACCAGTGGCTGCTGCAGTCTTGCCCAGCCTGGCCTACCCCCAGCTCTGGACTGATTCAATATATCTGGGGTGACTGTGCATCTTTATTTTTTTATTTGGAAGGTGCACACAAACACAGAAAAAAGAGACATATTTCCCACCTACTAGCTTACTTCCAAAATGCTTATAACAGCTAGGGATGGACCAGACTGAAGCCAGAAGCCAGGAACTCAATCTCAGTCTCCCACATGGGTGGCAGGGAGCCCAAGGATTCAAACTCAGGGACTTGGGCATCTTAGGATGCCCAATGCCCACCTCTGATTCCATACTTTCAGATTTTTTTTTTTTTACTTTCATTTTTTTTACTTGCAGGGTAAACACATATATACACACACAGGGAAATAGAGAAATCTTTCACCTGCTAATACACTTAAATGCCTGAAATAACCACTGTAGCATCAATCTAAAACTCTGTCCAGGAACCCAAGTACATGAACCACCACATGCTACCTCCCAGGGTGCACATTAGCAGGAAGTAGGAAGTAGAAGTGGAGCTCAAGTTTGAACCCAGGAACTCAACAAGGAATGTGGGCATCCCAAACCACACCTTGATCACTGAATCAACGGCACACCACTTCCCCGCTTCTACAGGCCTAGGTAACACTAACGTTGCTGCTGGTCCGGGGACCACACTGTGAGCAGCAGGATCAATGAGCCCTAGCATCTTAGTGCCTACAAGCATTTAAAGCAGATTTCTATGTATCTACCTTCCCAAGACATTGGTCATATTTAACCTATCAGCAGGAAGAAAACCACAGTGAGTGAGGTCACCCAGAGGACTTGCTGAGCTTGCTATCCTCACCAGACTCTGCAGCACCAAGATTTGATACTACATCAGCAGGGCTGAAGCAAGTGATAGCAATGACACAGACCAATCCATATAAACCCAGGTATCATCAAAGGAACTAGTACGTACTTAGAGGACACACAGAAAGATTTCTCAAGATCCTCTAAACAAGCATGGATTCCTAAGAATAAATCCAGTGCCATCTGGTGGTCCTATGTTACACAGACAGCAGGGGAAGGGAATGGAGGCTTGTCAAGTTTTACCTTCAGGTACTGTGTTCGCATGCAGGAGAAAACAAACTAATGAAAAAAGTATATAAGAAATTACTCAAAGACTCTACAGGCTCATGGAGCTCAATTCAAGAAGATAACACAATTATAATTCACTAAGGAAATATGAATCAGATGGTCCAAACTTCTAACTCCTGCCTGTAAGTCTGACAGAATATTCCAAAGCCAACAGAGTTGATTTTCACAGCATCCCTGGCACCAGAGGGCAACAGGGCATATAACCAATCAGAGGAAATCTACAAACTGGGATATGCTGCTGTTTAAGCCCATCTGTTCCAATTTTAGTATATGTGCTGCCGAAGCGAGCACAAGCCCATCTGAGGTAAAGAAAATCTACTACCCTGGAAGTTAAAAAGGAAACTGGCTCTTAGAACAACCGTGTTCCTTCAGCAAGCCTATGGCATCTATTGTTCCCTGTTTTTCCTTTTGTTCTTCGCCTACCTGCTTTAAATGTTTCTTCAGCTCTAATGATTCTGGTTCTGGTAGAATAGGTAGCACTTCTGCATTGGTGGGGGCAATCACCTGCAGGAGAGAAAAGGTGAAAGTCATGGAGAATTAACCGCTCGGGAGTTTTACCTACAGAGAATTACAAGACCAGGAAGATGCCGGGATTAGAACTGGAGCCCAAACGGGATCACAGTGCATTCAAGGTGAGGACTTTAGCCATGCAGCCACCACGCTGGGCCTTTTTTTTTTTTTAATAAGGTTTAACAATGGACATACAGTCTGAATGTCTATGTGACTGCCAAAATTTGAATGTCCTTACACTGTAGAATATTAACACAGTTTTTAAGTCTGTACTAAAAGGCTGTTTTTCACAAAAAAAAAAAAAAAACAAAAAAAACTACATCCCAGAAAGCCCTCAGAAGACGGTCTACACCAGGCCCTACTGTTCTTGGGAGGCACAGTGAGCACATCTTTGAGTACTAGTCAATGGCTTGCTTAGTCAATAAAGTAAAAGCAGCATTTTAAAAGACGTTTTTTGATGAATCTCACAACAGAAATTATCCACTGATTTAGAGCCTTTCTGGGAATCATCTTAAAAAAAAAAAAATGAGTCTCACAGGACTAGGTCTACAGCAATCCTCTCCCTGGCCCCAGAATGCCTCACCCTATTGCTGTCCAGATCCACCAACCACACGTCATCAGGCATTTTGAAGTCCAATTTGTAGAGGAAGAAGCTGGCAGGGACTCCGATAATGTATGGGGTGGGAGCCAACAGCAGCTATGGAAATAGCATAGAGGGTCGGAAATAAAGGCAAAAACGACGGTGAGCATTATCGAGCTCATAAACTTTCTAGAGGTTTTCCAAAATGCTTGAGAAAAAATGCATGTCAAACATCAGATATTTTTTAGATTCATAAACGTGACACAGTACATTATATATATATGATTCCACATATATACGGAATTTTTTTTTTACTTATGTAAAAGGCAGAGAGATGACTACTACTTCACTCCTCATAGTGGCCTCATTGGCCACAGCAGTCAAGCGAGGCCAGGAACAGGGAACCCCATCCAGATCTTCCACGTGAATGATAGAACATTAGCAGGAAGCTGGATTGGAAGTCGGGCACCCAGCACTCCGATATGAGACACCAGCACTGCAGGCAGTGGCTTGATCCCTGTGCCACAATGCTAGCCCCTGTATAATTTGAACATCGGCAGCATTGCAGCCAGGAGACTACATTAATTAACATTAACTGTGGCAAACATAAAAACTATAGGTTGTACCATCTTATCAGTTTAAATTAGTCAGATTTTACAAACTAGAAAGTTGTGAGAGGGAGACAACTTAAACTAACACTCACTCACTTCCCTGGGCATTGAGCCTGCTCTTTCAAGAAGACAGAAGTGACAGAGTCAGATGACGCTTGAGACTCACCTGTTCTGCCGATGCCATGCAGGTGGGAAGCAGTGGGATGACAGGAAACATATACTCCAGCGGGTAGATCATTGCCACAAATGCCATCACAGACATGGAGAGTGCATTGTAGTCTCGGGACTGTAGCACCACCTGCCAGGAGCCACCACAAGGTCACTCGGCTGCATAACATACGGTTTATAACAACTTCCAATAGGACAACATGGTATCTGTTTTACCATGCTATTGCCCCAACTTTGTTTCCACAATCACCACTGCACCATGTCTGTCACCTGCCAGCCCAAGTACTGAAGAACTCCTTCCCAAACCACTCCTTTCCCTTCCTATTTCTTGCACTCTGTGTCCCAGCATCACTCATTCAAATGACTACTGCTATTGCCAGAAAATAAGGTCCACAGGATAAAGGAGCGTTCAACAAAGCAGCTAGCTTTCTGGAACACAACCCGTGAGATGCTGGTACCACCCGCATCTACCAGGCACCTGCTCTTCATCAGTGTCAGATGCAAAGTTCCAGGTATGGCTCACAGCCCTTTCTCTGGCCAGGTCTCAGAAGCTGGCCCTCACCTTGTGCTCCAACAGGATGCAGGTGAGCACCTGGAGACAGGCATCCACACCCAGAAGTTCCAAAGGCAGGTGCAGCGGGAAATCTACCAGCGTGAACCGAGAGGGATCCGGAAGAGCAAAGGTCAAAGCTGGTTGTAGCTCCTGGGGCAGGACCTCAATGTCCACTCGCTTCTGCCCAGAGACGGGCACTGGGGAACGCAGCAGTCGGTAGATCCAGGCCTCGATCTCCCGCAGGTCATGCAGCAGGGCGCTTGACTTCTCCTCCACCAGCAGTGATCCGGTAAAGATGCGCCACATGGTGTCCCTGAGGGGCAGGCAAGCAGGAATCGAACCTGTAAACACTGCAGCTGAGTCCCCGGTGCAACCCAATGTAACCACAGAGCCTAGCATGATGATGGCTGGACTGAAGAGTGAAAAGAACCAGAAGGCTTACTCTCAGAGTAAGATCAGAGGGGAGGTAAAGGGCAAGAAGAAACTACCCAAGCAACACCCTCAGAACACTCCTCCCCACATCGGGGCTTCTACAGTGTCATCAAATGATGGTCCCCCACCCCCGTTGTTGATGCAGCTTGACAGCAAGGAGCGGCCCCTTCCCCTTGCCCACTCTGTGAACACAGAGAAAAAAGAAAAGAAAGGAAGCATTTTTCCCACCCACCTTCCTTCATACTTGACCCTCCCCCTCCCTCATCAGAAGGGTGTACATCCCTCAAATTATGTAAAAAATATTAAAAAGAAAAGGAAATTGTAAGTCATCCAACTCCCTAGCATCATCCCAAACATGCCAACCTTCTGCTTGATAACGGCCACCAACTGAACAAGCTGATGTGAGATGCACTGCCCTGGTCCCTGGCCTAACCTCCAAAGGGCCTCCCTCTTCCAAGCAGAGGCAGCAGCCCCATACCTCTGTACGCCTCGAGGAAGGCCCAGCTTCTTGCCCAGCAGGCGCTCGCTGCAGCAGTCCACCAGACGTTTGAGGGTATACAGGCACTCCCGGAAGGTGGAGAAGAAAGGGTAGTGGCTGAGCACACACAGGGACGTCAGGGTGCTGTTGCGGGACCGGCTCCCTGCCTTGGCCCGGCGTTTGCCCCGAGGAGACTGGCTCACATCAGGCGTGGAGTCAGTGCTGGGAGGCTGCAGGGATGCACTGCTCTCAGAGCTCTCGGCGCCCACCTCTTCGGGGACACAGGCGGCCCGGGGTCCCTCCTTCCCGCGGGACCCTGCTCCCCCTTCTCCCTTTTCCTTGGGCATTCGCTTCTGGAAGGAGCGGTAGAAGTTGACACAGATGCCATAGCGCGTGACTCCGGTGTCCTTGTCGGTGAGGGTGAACACAAAGGAGGTGTCATCGCGGAGGCTCATGCGCCGCTGCCGCACGCTCAGGCAGCCCTCGGGCTGGCAGAAGAACACCACATCCGGGGGCAGGGGGAACTCGGCATGGTCCTCTAACGGGTACCGCCGCAGCAGTTCCGGGGTCTGGGCCACGCTATCGCTGCTCGGGTGCCTGAGGAAGACAGAGACCAAAACTCAGAAGCCTAAAGGGGATGGCACACGCCATGAGAGGCTAACCACAGTACAAAAACAGAGATGCTACTTGGGGCAAAGTAACCCAAATGCAGGACCTCAGATGACACAGGGGCAGCAGCATGAAATATTCAGTCAGTGGCCTAGAGGAGTCTGCACTGTCATGAAGTTATCAGTCCTAAAAATGCTTTTGCAAAAACCAGCAACCTAGGGCCCAGCGGTGTGGCTTAGTGGCTAAAGTCCTCACCTTGAACGCGCCAGGATCCCATATGGGCGCCGGTTCTAATCCCGGCTGCTCCATTTCCCATCCAGCTCCCTGCTTGTGGCCTGGGAAAGCAGTCGAGGATGGCCCAAAGCCTTGGGATACTGCACCCGCCTGGGAGGCCTGGAGGAAATACCTGGCTGCTGGCTCTGGATCGGCACAGCACTGGCCATTGCACTCACTTGGGGAGTGAATCACCGGACGGAGGATCTTCCTCTTTATCTCCTCCTCTCTGTATATCTGACTTTGTAATGAAAATAAAATAAATCTTAAAAAAAAAAACCAACAACTAAAGAGTCATGATCCAATGAAGATCTGTTAGTTAATGAATTATCAAAGCAGAGTATGTACCCGTAGGTGGAGAAGGAACACAATGCACTGTGCCTTTTTACAAAACAAGAAAACTGGGGCATAAAGAGTAGATGTGCTCAGGCCTGGTGAGACGGCTCAGTTGGCTAATCCTCCCCTTTGCATGTGCCGGGATCCCATATGGGCACCAGTTCGTATCCTGGCTGCTCCATTTCACATCTCCCTGCTTATGGCCTGGAAAAGCAGTCAAGGATGATCCAAAGCCTTAGGACCCTGCACCCACGTGGAAGACCTGGAAGAAGCTCCTGGCTCCTGGCTTTGGATCGGTTCAACTCTGACCATTGTGGCCACTTGGGGAGTGAACCAGCAGATGGAAGATCTTTCTGTCTCTCCTTCTGTCTGCAAATCTACCTTTCTAACAAAAATAAATAAATCTTAAAAAAAAAAAAAAAGAATAGTTGTGCTTAAGATGAAAAGGAGGCCAACTAAGAGCACAGGTTTGCTGTCTCAGTCAAGGCCAAGGCTCACCTAACAGGACTGTTTTCCCTTCGAGTAACAACCCTACACTCAAGGTAAAGCAGAAGACAGAAGTACGCAAAGCAGCATGGACAAAGGAAACAAGATTCCTTGCAGATTTTACAGCTATCCCATCCCACAAGACAAAAAAATAAATAAATGAATATATATACATATATGTATGCATGCACGTATGTATCAGTCTCTTTGCATTACCTGGCCCCTACGATCACTAGGTAGTCAAGTAACCGAGGACAGAATTTCTTCTCCTGCACCATGTTTCCGATTCATCAGTTCATCACAGAGAAACTTCAGGGCACTGGGCAAGGAGTCAGCATCCCCCAGAGAAATTCAGAGATTGCCTGAAAATGCAAGTTTAAAAGGGGCAAAAAAGTCCTCATAAGATGCAAAGCTGTGCCCGAGGGCCTCTTCCCTCTCTACTTTATCCCAGCTAGGGGCAGAGGTCAGAGGCCCTTTGTTTTATTTAGTATTAAAGATGGGTGAACTTGACACTTGTAACCTCCTGTTCAGGCTCAGGAGCTCAGATGTCAAGAAGTAGGAAAAAAATGGCTTGCCTGCCTCCCCAGGCTTCCCAAAGCAGCTTAGTTCCAGCCTACCTACCCTGGGGCTGTTTGCTAAAAACCAGATGCAGGTAGGTCTAATCAGGATTCAGCCATTAGGATAACAAAAATGAAGTCACTTTCAGGACAGCCCCAGGGTAGACTAGGATATGCCATTCAGCACGCATCTGCACTTCCAGGTCTAGGTGGAAACCTAATTATGTTGTTTCAACAATCTGCTTTCAGCTGGATATAGAACCACTGTGGGGCCTGGCTGGTTCCTGGCACTCACACAATAGCACTAGCTGGCTGTTCTATCCTACTGTCCATGCACCCCCATCTCGCTGCACTGCCTTATCTGAAGCACCTGTCTTCCCCTCCAAGCCAGAAAGGGCACCAGGTGGCTACGGCCACCAGTTCTGCCTATGGTGCTGAACCACGGGCTCTCCTATTCTGGTCTCTGTACCCAAATGAGCAATACAATAGGCACCGATGAGACCTTGTCCTACTATACCTTACAAAGATTGTGGGTGAGATTTCTCTGCAAAAGGTTAAGAAGTGTTCAGGAGGTTTTCTAACCTGTAATTGTAAGATCAGGAAAAGCTTACATGATATTCATGGTCATTTATTTCCTATTGGGCCTCTAAATAAAACATTTCACTCTACTACAAAAGGCTATTTTCAGGCCTGGCATGGTAGCCTAGTGGCTAAAGTCTTTGCCTTGCATGTGCCAGGATCCCATATGGGCGCCATTTCTAATCTCAGCAGCCCTGCTTCGCACCCAGCTCCCTGCTTGTGGCCTGGGAAAGCAGTCAAGGATAGGCCAAAGCCTGGGGATCCTGCACCCGCCTGGGAGACCTGGAAGAGGCTCTGGGCTCCTGGCTTCAGATCGGTTCACCTCTAGCTATTGAGGTCGCTTGATGAGTGAATCATTGGACAGATCTTCCTCTCTGTTTTCCTTTCTCTCTGTATATCTGACTTTGCAATGAAAATAAAATAAATCTTTAAAAAAAAAAAGAGGCTATTTCCAGTTTTCCAGGATTATCTCTGTGCTTGCACGAGGCTACACTAACACACTGTTGACTGTCCACACAGAGTACTCACTATATTAAGACACACATCACTCCCTCATCGGAGGCTGAGTGCCCTCCCATACACAGGGGTGCACACACACTCCCTGTATGTATGCTTAAGGCCCTGTTTGATTTAGATAATGAGCTGAAGTTCTATTTTTTCCCCCTACTTCATAACAAACAACACCTATGTGTGACACCTCACTCCCTCTTCTCTCTTGCTCTCCATAGAAGACCTGCAGGTAAGAGGATTCAGTGGTGTCTCCATAGTGACTCTGGCTCCCAGCACTATTTATAGCAGAGCCTCGGCCCCTCCCCTGCCTGGTGACCGCACAGTGCTAGCAGCTGCCACTGCAGAGCTGGCCAGAGCCCCTAGCACAACAGTTCACTCTCCTGGAACCTGGAGACGCTTCTTACTAAGAATGAGGCTCTCCTCTCCCCATTTCCTGTCTTTAATTTGCACTTGGTCCTAATTCTGGCTTTTGAGAAAGCTATCTCCTTGCCACCAAGTTCCTTCCCGGCCTCATCATTGCTTAGAAAACTCCAACAGTCCCTTCGCTCTCCCAGTGGCTTACAGAGCTGCAAGCACACTGCAGAGAAGCGAACCCCGTTAGAGTGCTGTCTCAGCAACCTCTGACCCAGCAAGAAAAGGGGAGAGAAGACCAGAGAACGAGCAGGACGGATACTGGGGTAGCGGTGGAAACCTAATTCCTTCTCTGGAGAACCATGTAGAGATGTCCAGAGTGAGAGCCGGAGTACTTCCAACAGCAAACAATTCCAGAATCAGCACTCGGGGGTGAACCTTGACAACCAGGGTGATCAAGAAAACCAGGGGCTCTGGGCAGCCCCCACCATCTCCAAGGACGGCCAGAGGCATCTCCCAGGAACACCAGTTAGTCAGGCATTATTAGGTCTCCCCAGGCCCTCTCTGCTCCGAACTAGTTGACACAGATCATTCTCACACTTTCCTTTTTGGAGCCCTCAAGGTCCCCCGCCCCCGCCAGAGCCCCTCTATTTTAGCCAGCACTGGTAGCTTCTTAGCCACACTCCTTATCTCACCAATGGCCACTGCCCTGTTATTCTGATTACAGAGATAACCCATGCTTCTCCTCCTATTCCTGCCTCTCTCTCTCTCCTAGTCTCCACACAGATGCTAAATCCTCTAACACCATCTAGAACTCACATTTTGCCCTCGTAACCAAACCTGACTCAGATCCTGCCTCTGGCCACAACCACATTCAAGAACACTTAACCCCCGGGCCCTATCTTTCCACACCACAAAAGCAGAAAGCTTCAAACGGGTATCCTTGTGTTCAAGTCCACACCAGCATCCACCCCGTTCACAAGCAATCTTGGACTCCCCAAACCTTTCCGCGATCCATGTCTTCTCTGTCTGCAAGCGCTACCCGAAGCACCCCTTTGGGTTGGTCTCTCCTTCAGGGCAGGGAGGATCTCATAGTAAAACCACAGGACCCCCCCCCCCTCCAGCTATCAAAATGTCATCTGTGCTGACGTGAGCATGACAGTAGGCTCGAGACTCCCCTCCTACTCCCTTCCCAGTGACCTTGCAAGCTTGGTAGTAGACTGGTCCAGCGTTGGGGTGAACTGGAGCAAGGAGGCTGGCTATCGGCAGGGCTGGGGACCAGGGGAGGGAGGGAGAAGAAAGGATGAAGGGATGCTAGGGGGTCGTGGGGAGGGAATGCAGCTGCAGGAAACAGCAAATGCTGTTTCCAGTCTATAGTAAACCCATATTAAAATATCAAATTTCAGATAATTTTTCCCCTAAAGAACCAAACGTGATTCTCTCCAAATCCTAATCAAAAGCAAGGCGCACACACGCTCCCACACACGCGTGCACACACACACACACACACACACACACACACGCACACACAGGAGGACAGGCGCTCGTGCAGGGCTCCGGCCCCGGGGCTGGACAGCTCTGCACGCCCCCTCACCTGCTGGACAGTTCCCCGCCCCCGCCCCCGAACCAGCACTGTCTGCCCGGCAGCCATCGGAGCGGGAGCCGAGCAGCCCCGAGCCTAGCCGGAGCCCCGCAAGCCTCAACCCTCGGCGCCCTGACCTCTGGCCGCGCCCCCTTCTTCCTCAGACCCCCAGCCCACTCCCTGTCGAGACGCCACTCCCCCTCGCGCTCCTCTAGGGGCCTTCTCCAACATCATTCCTCCCGGGGGTCCCGGGGACCCTCCGCCCCTAGGTGTTCCCCCTAACACCCAACCCCAGATTATCCAATCATCCGCCCAGGGTCCCCCAGCAGCCTGGACCCTCCTACCTCCCGAGCCTCGAGGGCCCAACCTCGCAGACCTGACGTCTCCGGCAGCAGAGCGTCAGCCGCTCCTCAGCGCCGCTCCGAGCGGCCGCCAGTTCCGCGTCTGCACGGGGGGCGCGTACCACTCGGGTGCCGGAGGGGGGGAGAAGCCGAGGGGCCTGGGCCGTACCATTCGGCTGCCGCGGGGTTCAGGGCTGCACCACCCCGGGCGCTCAAGGGTGGAGCCGATCTCGGCAGAAAAGGCGGCTGCGCACACACCTATCCACGGTGGGAGTGGGAACGGGTTGAGGAACACTAGGCCAGCCCAGCGCTGCTGCGTGCCAAGGGGAGGATCCAAAGGAACACCTTTGGCTTAGGTTTCTCAAACAGATTTCAATTCGACGTGGCCATTGAGTCCGTTTTGACGTAATGTGAGTTCATCGGAAAGTGATTTCTCAAGGTAACCTGCCACTGAGGTTTTCTGACCGCCCCCCCATTCCTCACCCCTCACCTCTTTCCCTGCACCCCCCTACGCTGTTTGGCAGCGCCCGGCCTTCAAGGCTGCAAAGCCGGTTACCGGGGCGGTGGAGCATACCAATCCCGGAGTTAGGGGGGTGGCGGTGATGGGAGTCGGGCTGGGCGGTATCACCTACACTGGGCGCGCTAAGGGAAGCGGCTGTGAAAGGCGTCGTGGTGCTCGCTGGGAAATGGAGTCCAGTCCCTTTGCGAGAAGACATACTACAGGGTGGCTTTCCCTCACCTCAGGAGACTTTTTCTGTGTCACAGGATGAGGATCAAAACTGGGTGAGGGGGAGGAATGAGATGTCTGTATCCTGTTTCAGATGCCAACGAAAAACACTCGTGCATTGCGCGCGCGCGCACACACACACACACACACACACACACACACACACACAGGCTTGGCTGAGGCGTTAGTTCTGAGAACCAGCAGCCAGGGGACCCGCTGCCCCGGGCTCATTCCGAAGGCGGGAGAAGGAGGACGGCTTTGCCTTCAGCCTTGCACCGACCCAGATGGCGCGTTCCTCCCGTCCCCCTCCTCTGGCTCTGGAGGCGGATTCTCAAGGACAGCCATCCTTCCCGGTCCAGATCCCTTTCCCCAAACTCTCTCGTTCTCTATTCTTTTTGGCCTTCTGCTCAAATACGGCCAGACCAGACTTATGTGCGAGGTAGCCTTGGGATATTTATGGCGATAGAGAATTTCTCCTGGCGAGGTTGGGGACAGGAAGCCATGGAGGGCAGGGGATGGGCAAGGAGTCAGCCCTTGTTGGGGGGCAGCCCCCAGGCCTCCGTGCTGGGCAGGGTCTTTGGATGGAGCAGACCCCGCCTCCCACACCTTCCCCATCCAGCAGCCACCAAAACTGCAAAACCCTTCAACTTTCCTTTAATGCCATGGGAGGATTTCCTGGCCCAGCTCCCAGGAATATTTGCTCTTCAGGAGGTAGCCTGGGGGGTGGGGGCTGTCTCAGCTGTGCGGCCAGAAAACAGAAGATGTAGGGGAGTTTGGGGTGGAGATGGGCAGGGGAGAACAGTCACTCGTTCACATCCCAGATCTCAGACAGCAGAGGGGGCAGCTTTTTGTCCTGCAGGCGCAGCGCGAACACTTGCTCGGAGTGGACGCTGCTCAGTGTCCGAAGGCTCACCAATTTCATCAGCATCCGTGGAAACATGAGCCGGTCCTGGGAGGAGAGGTACAGGGGGAGGGGGCAGGAAGGACAGGCAAAAGGGCAGCGTTAGCTCTCCCCAGGGAAGAGGGGCAAGCGGAGAGTTGTGGGAGAGGCAGAGGATTGCTGAGCGCCCTGTAGTTGGAGAGGGATCATTGAAGAGCCAAAGCAGGGGTGCTGGGGACAGGGGAAGCAGGGGAGACTCACATGGGGGTGGTGGATGGAGACGTAGGCATGCAGGGCCTCCACATATGTGTGTTGCAGCCTTTCTACCTGGAGCTGGTCCTGCACGTTGGGCCGGTCTACAGGTCACCAACATAGTGGAGGAGCAGGTCTGGCCAGGGTCTTAGTTCCATCTCACAAAGCACACCGCCCGCCCCCCCCCCCAACAAACAAACAGGGAAATGTCCCACCCCACCTCTTCCATGACACAAGAGCACAGCCAGGGCCACCACCCGCAGGATGCCTGCCTGCCACCCACTCCCGCACCTGCAGAGAAGATGCTGATGGCGATGAGCAGAGCAAACTCAGCATCATTGAGCTGCAGCTCGTTCATGGCTCTGGAGAACTCAAAGATGGGGTTGATGAACTCCACCTGCAGCCCTGGCATGGAAGATGGGAGACAGTGGCATGAGGCAGGGCAGTGGGAGCTTCCTTCTCCCCATCCCTCAACTCCTCCACTAAGGGAAGCCTTCAGCAGGAAGACTCCAGACTAGGTAACCGTGGGTCAGGTTCTTACCCTCTAAGCCTCACAAGTGAAATGGGCATCCTGTCTAAACCTCTTTTTTAAGATTTATTTTTATTTGAAAGGCAGATTTTACAGAGGAGAGACAAAGATCTTTTTATTTGTTGGTTCATTCCCCCAAATGGAGGAACCAGCTGGAGCTGAACTGGAGCCAGGAGCCTCTTCCCTGTCTCCCACATGGGTGAATGGGCCCAAGGCTTTGGGCCCTCCTCGGCTGCTTTCCCGGGCCATAAATGAGAGCTGAACCAGAAGTGGAGGAGCCAGGACATGAATGCCATCCATATGGTATGCTAGCACTTGGAGGTGGAGGATTAGCTAACTGAGCCATTGTACCAGCCTCTAAATCTCTCTTAAGACATGTGATGGTTAGGTCCCGGTGCAATAGCATAGTGGTTAAAGTCTTCGCCTTGAACGCGCGAGGATCCCATATGAGCACCGGTTTTAATCCCAGCAGCTCCACTTCCCATCCAGTTCCCTGCTTGTGACCTGGGAAAGCAGTCAAGGATGGCCCAAAACCTTGGGACCCTGTACCCATGTGGGAGACCCAGAAAGAAGCTCCTGGCTCCTGGCTTCAGATTGACGCAGCACCGGTCGCTGCGGTCACTTGGGGAGTGAATCATCGGACGGAAGATCTTCCTCTTTGTCTCTCCTCTCTATATATCTGACTTTGCAATAAAAATAAATAAATCTTTTTAAAAAAGTTTTAAAAAAAAAAGATGTGTGATGGTTAAATGCTAAAATATGCAGAGCACTCAGCCCTGGGTGGCACACAGCAGGTGCTGAACCAAATAACAGTAATAACAATATTTCTGTGATGAGGATTTTTTGAGAGCTCAGCATTTCTATTTTATAAATGGAGATTGATAAAGAAACCCTTTCACTGTTAAGTGCCCTTACATATTGGAACACTAGAGATCCATATCAGCTACTACATCCCAAGGGAAAATAGCAGAAGATTAAGGGTGTGGATGCTGAGGCCAGAGTGCCTGGCCCTGAGTCCTGGCCCAGCATCCCCTATGGGCAGCAGTTTGTGCACTTTGTGCCCTGGCTGTTCCACTTCTGATCCAGTTCCCTGCTTATGACCTGAGAAAGCAATGGAGGACGGCCCAAGTCCTTGGGCCCCTTACCCAGAAGAGGCTTCGCATCAGCTCAGATCTAGCCACTGAAGACACTGGTGAGTATATCAGTGGATAGGAAATCTTTAACTCTCCTTCTCTCTTTAAATCTGCCTTTCCAATAAAATAAGTAAATCTTAAATAAAAAAAAGATAATAAGAAAATAAACAGAACTGGAGCGGGTATTTTGCACAGCCGATAGAACTCCCGCATCCCACAATGGAGTGCCTGTATTGCAGTCCCACTTCCTGCTGATGTGCACACTCGGAGGCAGAGCAGCACCCGGCCAGGACACCTGCTGCCGCTGCTCTCTCCTGGCTTGGGCCTGACCCAGACCTGGCTACTGTAGGGATCTGCAGAGTGAGCCAATGATGGCAGCTCCCTCTCTCTTTATCTGCCTTCAAATAAGCAAAAATCAAACAAACAAACAAAAAGTAAACCCAATCTTCCTGCTGAGAAGACTGAATTATGAGGCCAGCATTGCAGTGCAGCAAGTGACAGCCACTTGAACCAGCATCCCATAAGAATGCTGGTTCCAGTCCTGGCTGCTCCACTTCTAGCTCAGTTCCCTGTTAACACATCTGTGAAAGCAAAACAAGATGGCCCAGGCACTTGGGTCCCTGCCACCCACCAGTGAGACCAGGATGGAATTCCTCTCCTGGCTTCAGGAAGTGAATCAGTGCGAGGCAGAAGTCTCTCTCTCTCTCTCTCTCTTTCTCTGTAACTCTACCTTGCAAAAAAAAAAAAAAAAAGACTAAAATACAACACCACTACCTACAGCCATAGCACCTAGCAAATACGCCCACTGTCACTATGCCCCATGCTGTCCCCTAAGCAATCTCAGATTTCTTTTAGCAGCCATCTGTTACACTTTCCCATTTGAGGCTTCTTGATTAGTCACTTCCTGTACTTTAACTCTGATGTTTATCAAGTGTTGTGTGTGTTGCTCCACTTAATAAGTCCCATTTTAGAAAGCATTTCTTGATAAAGTGGTGAGCCCCCAAAGTGTGCCAAACACCTCTTGTCTACAGAGATTAAGACATGATTCTAAAACATAGTTGTGCACCTGTTGGGTCTGCCAACGTGATCAAGTCCATGTCATCTGTCACTTCCCACGGGTGGCACGAGAGAGCACACAGAGAGGAAACAGACCTGACCAAGACCGCATGGATGAAGTGAGAAAGGAAAAAGCAAACATGATGACATCTGAACCTGCTTCTAGAAATAGATCTATAAATAGGTGCAGATTCAGATAACACAAACCCATAAGGGCGGAAGGAGCCAAGATGTATAAGAACCGGAAAGGGTGCAGAAAGAAGGCTGTTCTGAAGGAGATGGTCATGGTTAAGAAGGTCAGAGGTGATAGCCGTTTCGGGAAGTGGTGCTTTGGAGAAGCAGGGCAGAGCCAGTGTGAAAACTGGGTCGAGCTGTCAGATAGCTGTCATTAGGGGCCTATGCACTTGGGCAGTATGCCAGGCCCCATGGGAGGCAAGGGGTGGCAAACAACCTTGCTATGCCCCACAGTGAAGGAAGGCCTGCCTGAGAGTTCAATGTGCTACCTGGGTCGGGACAGGAGCTAGGGATGAGCCACCAGACACCCGTGGACACACCAGACTCCCTTCCAACCCAGGAAGCCAGAGTCTAGCAGCCCTGGGGGGTGAGGGGAGGATATCGCAGCACCTGTGTTTAGCCATCTAGCAACTCACTCTCCTCCAGTCCCTCCAAAACTCCCTGGGCCTCCACACTCTCCAAACCCTGTGCCCACAACGCAAGCAGAAGCAACGTCAGAAGACAATGTCCCCAAGCTAGCATCACAGGGGGAAGCAGCAAGGGCCAGGCTGAAGGGGCAGGCTGGGGACTCGGGTGTTGAGCTTTAGCCTGCTAGCAGCCCCACCTGGGCGTCCCTGCCGTGTTTCTATTCAGTTCCATGACTTACCAGGCAGAGTTCAAAGGGGTGGCAGGCTGCTTCTGACAAAACAATTAAGACACAGGTCGGGACACCCACATTCCACAAGGGGTCCTAGGGTTAGAGTTCCAGTTCTGCTCCCAATTCCAGGTTCCCGATAATGTGCACCTGGGATGACCCTGCCACCCATGTGGGAGGGAGGCCTAGACTGAGTTCCTAGCTCCTGGCTTCAACCTGGCCCAGCCCTGGCTGTTGGCAGACATTTGAAGAGGATACCAATGGTTGGGAGCTTGTGTGAGTGTGTCTCCAATATATTAATTAATAAAAAGACAAAGGGAAAGAGGCACCAGCCCAAGTGATCTTAAAGAACACTTATGAGAGTAGGCCTGGCGCTGTAGCCTAGCAGCTAAAGTCCTCTCCTTGCACTTGCTGAGATCCCATATGGGCACCAGTTCTAATCCCAGCAACCCTGCTTCCCAAGCAGCTCCCTGCTTGTGGCCTGGGAAAGCAGTCGAAGACGGCCCAGGGCCTTGGGACCCTGCACCTGCGTGAAAAACCCAGAAGAGGCTCTGGGCTCTGGCCATTGCGGCCACTGGGGAATGAATCATCAGATGGGAGATCTTCCTGTCTCTCCTTCTGTGTGTATCTAACTTTCTAACAAAATAATAATAATAATAATAATAATTCTTTAAAAAAAGAGCACATGTGAGAAAGGTTTTTGTTCATTTTCGCTGTTAGTCCTTGCAAAATGTGTTTTCCAAATGATTCCTAGTAAAATGCATTATAGGAACACAGTATATAATACAGAATTTTTTGAAAGACCTTTTTTTTTTTTAATTGAAAAGACAGAGTTACACAGAGAGCTGAGGCAGAAAGAGAAGTCTTCCACCTATTAGCTCACTCCTCAAAATGGCCACAACAGCCAGAGCTGAGCTGATCCAGAGCCAAAGCCAGGAGCTTCCTCCAGGTCTCCACATGGACACAGGATCCCAAGTACTTGGGACATCCCCTGCTGCTTTCCCAGGCCATAAGTAGGAAGCTGGAGTGAGAAGTGGAGCAGCCAGGACTCAAACTGGCACCCATACGGGATACCAGCACTACAGGCAGGGTATTAGCCTGGTATGCCACCACGCCAGCCCCCGATATAGGGCCAATCCTGTGGGGGCGCTTCCTTGCTTCTCCTCTAAAGTGACACTTCCACAATGCGCTCAGGGTTCCAGGAACCCAGTTTGAATTCCGGAAACCCACTTGGCCTCATGAGATGGAAGCTGGGGTCTGTCCGGAGCAGCTGAGAAAGGGCTGTTGGCATAGCAGCTTCCTCTCTTAGAAGAATCAGAGGAGCCTCCCTGTGATAGCCCTGAACCCTGGGCCTGGGGCTCAGCAGCCAGTATGGTCACAGGTCCTGACCATCCGACCAGCTCACTTCTCACCTGCTTTGGCAAAATCCTCCCGGTTGTAGCTGAAATCCTTGAGGAAGGTGATGCTCTCACTCCCAGGGTTGTACCTGCGAGACGTCTCTAGAAGCATCACCTGTGTGCAAGCAGCAGACCTCACCCAGGGGCCGGGAGGACCGGCCCTGGCACTCAGCCCTCCTGGCAGAGGGAGAAGGTCTCATCCCTCCCCTCACCCATCCTCGCTTCCCAGCTGCATTCTGGGGGTGCCTCCCATGATGGTCCCCCCTTTCTGGCACCTCGATTGCAGAGGTCTTTAGCAGAGCGATCTGGTCCTCTCTGCTGAGTTGTAGGAAGCCAGGCAGCTGTTTGGCAAAATCCACAATCTCCTGCACGGACACGATGGCCAGCTCGGTGAAGTGGGCAAAGCGTTGCTGGCGGGCCTCCCGGCTGTGGGGGTCCGGGGCCATGGGCCAGGGCTGTCCAAGAGGCAAGGCCGGCATGAGGCGCGCCGCTGTTAGGGAGACCTTAGGGGGACCGTTGAGGGGGCCCACAAGTGCTCATGGTATAGCCACCTCGCCCCAGGCCCCACCAGGTACCGTGACTCGGAGCTGATCAGAAAAGGAACGCCGGTTACACTGTTGCTGGGCTGCGACCAGTTTCTCGATCATGCCCAGCTGCTCTGGGCTGAGCTGGGGCAGGACCTGGGGTGGTGAGGAGGCCCTTGGGGGCATGGCTGCGGCCTGGGCCTGTTCTTCCTCCTGCCGCTTTAGTTTCTTCAGGCGGATCTGCTCTTCCGACAGGACACCTGTGGATGGACGGGGCCAGGAGTGAGGCAGAGCCGATGGCAGAGGGGACAGATGCAAGTTTTGTGGCAAGATGGGGACGGCACTGCAGTGCACACGCAGGGGCTGACCAGGCCCTGTAGGCTCAGGCAGGTGCTTGCCCTCACACCCCACACCCTGTCCCACCGGCCTCTCCCAGGCTCCCAGCTCTGACACTCACACTCCTCCCGCATGCCGGCCTGGCGGCACTTGCGCAGCCGGCACTCCTGGCACTTGCGCCGCATGTAGGTGTCCATGGGGCAGTGGCCACCGCTGTGGCACATGTAGCGTGCTCCCTTGATGACGCTGCGGCGAAAGAAGCCCTTGCAGCCCTCGCAGCTCAGCACGTTGTAGTGGAAGCCTGAGGCCTTGTCCCCGCACACGCTGCACAGCTCGTTCCCCAGCATTTTGGGGGCCGGCCCCTTTTTCCGCTTCTGTGGACGGAGCTCTGCATGACAGGCAAGGGCCGGGATTGCTCTCCCTGACTTTGGCTCTGCCCTGAACACGTGGTAACAGTCGTTCCCTCCACTTTGTAAGCAGTTCTGTTTCTGGTTGGCACAGGGCTACCACCTCTGGGGCACTGGGGCAAACCCTTAGGATGCCTTCGTCCTTGTGTCAACCATAACCATTGTTCCCACTTTCCCAAAGAAGACAACTGGAGCCCAGAAAGTCGAGAGGTGTTCTGAGGACACCGACATTCAGATAGCTCAGGCTGAATGTACTGCCAAGTCTCGGGACCCCAACTATGACAGTATAAGGTCAAGGACCCTCAGGTATTCTTCTGGGTCCAGGGAGTCCCTAAGTGCCTCCCTGAAAATCACCGAGCTCACCTGTGGGCTCTGCAGGGACCTCCATGCTGGGGAGCAGGTCTCCAGGCTCCGCTGCCTCCAACCCCACCCTCAAGGTGCTGCCCGCAGATTGGGGTGTCCCGGCTTCCTCCTTGAGGGGGCAGCTGCTGCGTTTCTTGGGCTGGCTGCATGCATCCTGGGCACGTGGCTCCCACAGCTCCACAGCAGAATCTGAGTCCCCCAAGCCCCCATCAGAAGGAACACAAGAGGGTCTCAGCTCCCTTGGCAGCTCCACTTCCTTCCCCACTCCCTCCCCCAGTGCCCAGCTAGGAAGCTGCAATCTTCTTTCCACCCTTAGAGGGCAGCCAAGCCACAGCTCCCAGGTTTGGGGGACCCCAGGCTTCTGCAAGCTCCAGGCTCCAGAGCCAGTCCCTTGGAGTCTCTTGCACCCCAGACTAACTTAAATGTCATCTTTGTCCCCTACCCCCACCAGACTGGGAGGCTGGTGTTGCATTCATTTCAGACATTCTGTCTAGAACTCCCCAACTTGGCCAGAGCAAAGGAGCATCAGCCACGCCATGCAGCAGCAGGCTCGGCTTGGGCAGAGAACATGCCTAGAGGCCAGATGCCAGAGGCAGACAGAGGTGGTCTGGGCAGAAGGCAAGCTCTGGGCTGCTCACTGGAGGAGGGCATAAGACAGGTGTGGCAGGGTCCTGAGAGGAACAGGCAGGGGAGCAGAGCCAGAAGCCTGGGCTCAGGGGAAGAGGGCTGGCATGAAGATGCTTACCAGCAGAAACCTCAGGCACAGGGGCTTGCAGCCACAGGGACATCTCTTCCTGGAGACATGGACATCCCCCAGCACTGTCCTGTGAGAACGAGGCAGGTTATACTCTTCTGGAACCTGGCACCTTCCTGGCCCTCAGCTCCCTTCCTCCTGGTGCCTGCCATGTGGTGGTACCGTAATGGGTTAAAGCAGACTTGCCACATATGGGTTAACCTGGACAATACCTTCCTCACAATAGCCCTCCAAACTGAGGCCCGCCCTCAAGCCCATTTAACAGATGAAGAAACTGAGGTTCCATGAGAATATTAAGGCAGTTTCCAATGGCCACACAATCAGGCAGCAATAGGGTCAAGATTCCACCCAACCCAGATCTCTCTGACTCCCAGCCTGAGCTCCTGCTCAACTTTCTCCTCCAAAGCCTCTTCCAGGCTGCAGGGAATGTCTGGGCACATCTGTCCAGCTCCCAGCAGGGCTCCCCTCCCCTGCGCTCCAGCACATTGACACCACCAACGCTGGGCAGGGCTACAGTCAGCATGTAGCTTCACTGGTGCCCACCCCTCACTGCAGTGCCACTTTGCAGGGTCCCAGCGCAAACCTCTCCCCTCCAAGACCTCTTTCAGAAGTCCCCAGGAGTTATCCTGAAACCGAAGGAGAACTGGGTTCCTGCCTGCGGCTTCCATCACCAGTATCCCTGGTTTAACCCCGGGAGTCCTTGCTGAGATCCTTGGGACGCGCCTCCACAAATTCCCCATATCCAGGACCTCTTTACACAGAGCCAGGGCCAGTGCTGGCAAACGGAACCACCGAAGCCACCAAACTTCCGGACTGCGCAGTCTCTGGGGCCCCCTTGCTGGCAGAGTAAGCTGGTGCAGTCCCCTGTCCAGAGGCCTTGGCGGCCAGCCGGAGAGCTGGTGCTGTGCGTCGCCGCCGCCGCTGCCGCCGCCGGAGGGACCTGGAGCTCGGGGGAAGTAGCAACGTGGGGGAAAGGCAGAGGGGAGGGGCTGCCCAGGGGTCGAGCCACCTCCTTCCTGCCGACCGCAGGGCCGGCCAGGGACCCGACCAGAGCCGTGGACTGCTCAGCCTCCACCCACGGGGGCTGACTCCTCCCCTGCCAGCCGCCCCCGCTGCCCCCTACCCCCAGCCCAGAGAGCCGCATGACCCTGCACGCTGGGCCCAGGTCCGCGACTGTCCCGTTGCTCTCCTCACCCCGGTGGCGCTTTGCGCTCAAGGACTGCTTCCCAGACACCCCCACCCCAATCCCAGCAGCCTCCAGAGTCAGCGTTCCCGCCCCTCCGGAGACACCTCGCGGAGCAAAGGTCTCGGCGCTGCCGGAGTTGCGACACCCAGCCCCGGCGTGCCCGCGTTCCCAGCCTCCGCTGTCCTCCTCCCCTGCTCTGGGAAGAGGCCAAGCAGCTCTCTCCCCCACTAGCCTCAGGCCTCAGCCACGCTGGGAGACTTACAGGGTTGGAGAGGGCCAGGTGCTAGGCCTTCCAGGGGGTCTCTATGTGGGGGTCCTTCCCGAGACCCTAGAGAAGGGAGGTCAGGGGAGATGAGCCAGGGAGGGAAGTTCTTTCTGGGCCATGGCAGGCCTTGGGATAGGGGTGAGAGTAGAAGATGGCTGGCAAGCCAAAGGCTAACCTAGGGTGATTAGATAAAGGTATACAGGTTGCCTGTGTGTGGGCTGGGGCCCCAGCTGTCCATCCTGCTCCCTGCCCAGAACAGGAGCGCTATCCAGAAAATGAGATACCGGAAATGGACAAGAGCCAGAAGAGAGAAGGCAGCAGAGTAAGGGTCTGTGTTCCTGTTTGTTGGATAAGTAAGGAAACCAAAATTTGATCCTCTTCTGTCTCATACTGTTAGCTGGAGCGAGTTGATATTTCTGAACCCTTATTTCCCTATCTTTTAAAATAGGGAGTAAAAATGTTTTTGCAGGCCCAGAGCCGTAGCCTGGTAGTTAAATCCTAGCCTTGCATGCACTGGGTTCATATATGAGTGCCAGTTTGTGTCCCAGCTGCCCCACTTCCCTTCCAGCTCCCTGCTTGTAGCATGGGAAAGCAGTTGAGGACAGCCCAAAGCCTTGGGACTCTGAATCCATGTGGGAGACCAAGAAGAAGCTCGTGTCTCCTGGCTTCAGACTGGCACAGCTTTGGCTGTTGTGGCCCCTTGGGGAGTGAACCAGCAGAGAGTAGATCTTTCTGCCTCTCTTGTATCTGTAAATCTGCCTTTTCAATAAAAATAAATACCATATGGGTGTTGATTCATGTCCCAGCGGCCCCACTTCCCACTCAGCTCTCTGCTTTTGGCCTGGGAAAGCAGTCGAGGATAGCCCAAAATTTGGGAACCTGCACTCATGTGAGAGACCCAGCAGAAACCCCTAGCTCCTGGCTTCAGATCAACTCAGCTCCAGCTATTGCAGCCACTTGGGGAGTGAATTAGCAGACAGAAGATCTCTCTGTCTCTGCTTCCCTCTGTATATCTGACTTCCCAATATAAACAAATAAATCTTTAAAAATGTTTTGCATCATGGCACTGTTGTGAGAATTAAACTAATCACAGCACACGTGGCACATAGTGAGTGTTGAAGAAGTGGTGGCAGTTAGCATTACCGACCAGAGGGTAGGCAGGACTAGAACTCTGCCCGCCGCTTGGAATGTGTATGTTGCTACCCTTCCAGGTGCTTGTCTCCATCTACAAACCAGTCCTTGTGTTTTGGGAAAACTCCAACACTGCATGTGGGAGAACCCTGGTGCTCACGTGAGGCCCTCTTCTGGGACCACGCAGTCATGGAGCGTAATCCAAGTGGCCTTGCAGCCACCCCTTGCTCTCTCCTCGGCGCCTCTTGGTGCTAGAACTGGAGAGGCTGGGGCTGGTGGGCTGCTGCCTGCGGCAAGTCAAGAGCAGGGCTGAGGCTTCGGTCCAGCCATGGGAGGTGGGAGCTGTGGTTACTGCAGGTCATTCACCCCCTGCCCCATTCCCAGTTTCCTGCTCACAGGCTCTTCCTGTTTTGATGTGAGCTCCAGTTCCCATGGGCCCCACGTTAAAGCATAAGAGGGCAGGGGGCCAGGCGGGCAGGCAGCCAGAGATGAACAGGGCACCAGGGAAGGAGCAGAACAGAGAAGGAAGGAGTGGACGGGAGGGAGGGGGAGTGTGTGTGTGTGTGTGTGTGTTGGGGTAGGGGAGAGGACAGAAGACTGGTGTGTGCTGAAGCAGAAAAGGAGCCAGGGGCAGAGGGCAGGCGGCACAGGGTGGGGCTGGAGAGGAGACAGCCAGCAGCCTGGATGGGGTTGCAACATCTGCTCCGGCATCTGCTTTCTCAGCTGGGAAAAGCCCCTCAAGCATCCCCATCGCAGAAGCACAGAAGCGTTTGCTCTGGTTCCTCCTCATCACAAGGTTGTCTCTCTTGCTGTCCCCAGCCACCCTGGGCTGGGCACTTCTGAGTCAGGAGCACAAGGTTCCCCGTGCCTCTGGCCTGCACCACAACTGTGTGCTGGCTCCCACAGCCGAGGGAGGGGGGAAGCCAGAGACACCAGCACTTGGTCGTTCTGTCTCGGCACCCAGCTCGGGCCATCAAAAGCTGCATTGTAGCAGTGTGACATGGTAGCCACAACCTAGTGACACTTGGTTTCAGCAGGACAGGGCATTTAGGCTGGCCCTCAAGACCAAGCTGGGAAAGGCCTCCCTCATTCCTGCTGCCATCCTCAACTCCTGTGGTCACGTGACAGCCTCCTCGCAGGTGTCTTCTCCAGAGCACACACAGCCCAAGCTGGAGGGCTTAGGCAACAAGAGCCAAATTCTGCATTGACAGGCCAGGGTGGGGGTCAGCTCAGCCTTGTCACCTGGGAGGAGGGGTGTCACCTGCACTTCACTGCCAGCAATGCCCCTTTCAGGTTCTAGTGTTTTCTAGAGCACTCCCCTGCCAACACACACACCAGAGGGGAAGCAAGAGGAAAAGGGGGAAGACCAAAACTTAGCAGTGGTATTGCTAGAGTTTCCAGAGCCAAACCATGGGGACTTCTCTGCCTTAAGCCAGGGCTAGAGGGTCAGGTGACCTGCAGCAGGAATCACGTGATCCCCTTTCCCAGCCCCACCCCTGTGCCACAGTCTCACCAGCACGTAGTCTGTACTGGGCCTAGAGCTGCCCAGTCCTGTGGTTATCTTGCATTTCCTCCGTTCACCATTCCTGAGAATACCCTCAGGAATTGCCCAAATCACATTAGAATATAGATTTATTGGGCCCAGCACGGTGGCCTAACGGCTAAAGTCCTCACCTTGAACATGCCAGGATCCCATATGGGCACCAGTTCTAAGTTCCAGCAGCCCCACTTCCCATCCAGCTCCCTACTTGTGGCCTGGGAAAGCAGTCAAGGACAGCCCAGGGCCTTGGGACCCTGCGCCTGTGTGGAAGGCCTGGAGGAGGCCCTGGCTCCTGGCTTTGGATTGGCGCAGCACCAGCCATTGTGGTCACTTGGGGAATGAATCATGGACGGAAGATCTTCCTCTCTGTCTTTCCTCCTCTGTATATCTGGCTTTGCAATAAAAATAAATAAACCTTGTTAAAAAAAAGAATATGGATTTATTTCTAAGTCCTTATTTCAAAGGCACAATGTGAGCCAGCTGTCACACACAAGTTTTTTTTCCCCCAAATAGCTACAACAGCTGGGGCTAAGCTGGGGCTGAAGCTAGGGTTCAGAAACTTAATCAGGTCTCCCACATGGGGAGCAGGAACCCAACTCCTTGAGCCCTCTCTGCTGCCTTCCAGGGGACAGATGAGCTGAAAGCTAGAACCAGGAGCTCAAGCCAGGTGCTGAACCCAGGCACCCAGAAGTGGGAGAACAATTTAACCCAATGATCTAAATGTTTGCATTGAAAGTGACTTTTAAAAAATGTTTATTTGGGGCCCGGCGCAGTGGCGCAAGTGGTTCAAGGTCCTCGCCTTGCACGCCCGGGATCCCATATGGGCGCCGGTTCTAATCCCGGCAGCCCCGCTTCCCTTCCAGCTCCCTGCCTGTGGCCTGGGAAAGCAGTCGAGGATGGCCCAAAGCTTTGGGACCCTGCACCCGCATGGGAGACCCGGATGAGTCTCCTGGCTTCAGATCGGCATAGCATCGGCCTTTGCGCTCACTTGGGGAGTGAATCATCGGACGGAAGATCTTCCTCTCTGTCTCTCCTCTCTGTATATCCGCCTTTCCAATAAAAAAATAATAAAAATAAATCTTTAAAAAAAGAAAGTCAGAGTTACAGAGAGAGAGATGGAGAGGTAGAAAAAGAGTTCTTCCATCTGCTGGTTTACTCCCCAGAATGCAATTGCTAGGACTAGGGCAGGCTGAAGCCAGGAGCCAGGAACTCCATATGAGTCTCCCACATGGGTGCAAGGGCCCAAGAACTTGAGTCTTCCTCCATTGCTTTCCCAGGAGCATTAGAAGGGAGCTGGACTGGCAGAAGTGGAACAGCTGGAACTTGAACTGGCATGCATATGGGATGCAGGCATTACAGAGGGCAGCTTGCCTGCTGACACCCCTTCCCCCTTGCACACTTTTTTAAAAATGTTTATTTATTTGTACCTACTTGAAAGAGAGTGAGTGACAGAGATTATTCACCCGCTGTTTTATTTCCCAAATGATCTCAGTGGCGAGGACTGCACCAAGCCAAAGCCAAGAGCCGAGAACTTTATCCAGGGTTCCCATGCAGGCAGGAGCCCAAGCACTTGTGCCATCATTGGCTGCTTTCCAAAAAGATTGGTAGGAAGCTGGATTAGAAGTGGAAGCACAGGGACTAAAACCAGCACTAGGATATAAGATATGGGTGTATCAGGCCTGGCAAGATAGCCTAGTGGATAAATCCTCACCTTGCATGTGTTGGAATCCTATACGGATGCCAGTTTGTGTCCCAGCTGCTCCACTTCCCATCCAGCTTGTGGCCTGGGAAAGCAGTAGAGGTTGGCCCAAACCCTTGAGACCCTGCACCCATGGGGAAGACCCAGAATTCCTGACTCTTAGCTTCAGATCAGCTCAGCTCCAGCTA